CCCAGGTGAGGATGCAGGGAGAAGACAGCCATCTATAGCCAAGAAGAGGCCTCAGAAGGAACCATCCCGTGGGCTCAGACTTCCAGCCTCCAGAACTGTGAGGCAATGAGTATCTGTTTAAGCCACCATCTGTGGGACTTTGTTAGCTCTAAGAAACTAATGCAGGTGCGAAGGGTGTTCTGCCTCCCCTCAGAGTTTGGTCTTTTGTATCAATTAGTTACAATATACTGTGATTCATAAATGCAAAAGGCTAGGGGTGTACAAGGTGGGAGGAGGAGAAGGAGGTATGCAGGGAAGAGAGAGGGGAGCAGGGTTTGGTGTTGGAATGAAAGCAAGGGAGTGTTCAGGAAAATACAAAAAGGAGGAGCTAGGGGGTGAGCTGAGGGGGTGAAAAGGGATTTGGTGAGCCGATGGCAGGATGGGCACAGGAGGTGGGGAAGAAGCAGCGGCAGCTGGACCCAGAGCAGCCTCTGGGCCACACCCACCAGCTCACAGATCTGGACAGAGAAGGATCCAGAGGAGAAAAGACTAGAAACAGGGAGGCCACTGAGAAATGACAGTACCAAGCCAGGCAGTGCTGATTTGGGCCAGAACCAAGGTGGTGGTCATGGTGACAGAGGTGACAGGTGGGAGACACAGCAGGAGAGGGAAGAAAAGGGACCAGTGGCTCCTAGTCAAAGAGATTAGGGAGTTGGGGTGCCTCCCAGATACTGGACTTTCTGGAGGATGACTGTGTAACCAAGCAAGAGCAGAGCTAGAAATGAAGAAGAGTCTGCTTTTCAACAAACTGAGTTTGAGGTGCCTGGTGTACCACTGCCTACACCTGTTAGAAGCTCACAGGACATCTGAGTTCATCATTTTAGAGGCAAAAGGTGGCCAGGCATGGCGGCTCACGCCTGTAATCCTGGCACTCTGGGAGGCAGAGGCAGGTGGATCATTTGAGCTCATGTGTTCGAGACCAGCCTGAACAAGAGCAAGACCCTGTCTCTACTAAAAAAATAGAAAAAAATTAGCTGGACAACTAAATATACATATATTTAGTTGTCCAGCTAATTTATATATTTTTATATGTATTATATATATATTTATTATTTATATATATATATAAATTAGCCAGGCATGGTGGCGCATGCCTGTAGTCTCAGCTACTCAGGAGGCCGAGGCAGAAGGAGTTTGAGGTTGCTATGAGCTAGGCTGATGCCACGGTACTCTAGCCCGGACAACAGAGTGAGACTCAGTCTCAAAAGAAAAAAAAAAAAAGGAAAAAGTTAGAGGCAAAAAGGCAAGAACAATAACATGAGTACAGTGACAGTTGGGAGGCAGAAGCCGTGCTGGAGAAGAGGACATTTGCAGTCCCAAGAAAGTATTCCAGACCATCACAGCCAGGAGGAGCCCAGGAGATGTGATGAATAAACAACATGTGGGACCCTACATGGGATCCTGGAACAGAAAAGGGGCGTTGGGTAGAAACTGAGGAAATCTGAGTAAAGTGTGGGCTCTGGTTCAGTAATAACATGTCAGTATTGATTCACGAAGTGAATGTGCACCGTGAATAACGGGAATCTGGGTGTTGGGGCCTGTCTGTACTATCTTGGCAACTTTTCTGTAAATCTAAAACTATTTGAAATAAAACGTAGCACTTCAAAAAAGAGTATTAGGCTTGGTAAGAGTTATATTATATTGTTAAGGCAGAGAAGTGTAACTCTGGCATAAATCTTCTTTGAGGAGTGAAGAAGCCTTTTTGTTCCCCGGTGAACGTACAATGCTGTCACTCCGGAGATCGACTCCCCCAGAGCAGCTGGCCTGAAAGAGCACATTCCCTCCAGAGCCTCTTTATTGAATGAGTCACGCTGTGAATCATCTCTAAGGATAATGCCGCTCCCTGAGCTCACCCCACCTTGAGGGCACATCAAGGTGGCGGTAATAACACACTTCACATCCAAGCTAATCCTTCCACGTGACATGTCAGTGGAGAGGCACAACTCCTGTCAAGAAGAACTGCTTCACGTTGGAATATATAAGTGGGACGCTTGAAAACATGGGAATAATCCTGTTTTACCCTGAACTAGGGTTATGACTGACATTTGGAGCGGCCCATTTCTTCACTGCACGTGGCATATAGCTTCCCTGGCCCCTGGGCATTGTGACAACCAAAAACTGCCCCACACATTGCCGAACATGCCAAACATGTCAACTCCTACCCCCACCTTCCCTACCCCCCAGGGATCAATTAATTGAAATGTTCATGCCTGTGAAATTAAACTGGGAGCAAAGCAATAAAAAAAAAATGTTAAAGGAGTAAGAAAACAGACACCCTAAAAAGCAGTTGAGTACACGTGATAAAATTGTACAGAAGTAAATATGCACACGAGTATAAGTAAAACTAGGGAGATCTGACTCAGATGGGTGGACTGTACCCAGGGTCAGTCAATACCCTGGTTGTGATATTGTACTATGGTTTTACAAGATGTTACCATGGGGGGAAATTGGGTAAAGGACACAGGAGATATCTCTGTATTATTCCTTACAAATGCATGTGAATGTGCAATTATCTCAGACAGGAAAAAAAAAAGAACTTATGGGCATCCATAGTTGAATCATAAATGCTGACCTCCCCCCTCAGGCCCTCCAAATTCTCCTACTCCCATTCAGCATCATACAGTGTGCAACAGTCTGTTTATAGACTCAGGGAAACCAGCATTCAAGTCTTGACTACCACTAGCTGTGTGACCTTGAATAAAGTACATAACCTCTCTGAACTGAAATTCCCTCATCTAACAAATGGGAATAACAGGACTGACTCCCAAATGTTTGTGGAATGATTAAATGTCATATGTGCTCAATAAATGGCAGGGATTCCCACTTCTCCAGCCCTTTGGTTGTTGGTTGGAGAATGTTGTCCCAAGTTTTCAGCCACCACTTTCTCTGTGCAGCACCTTCAACGGGCTCTTGCACTGAACCTGTCCCCCAAACCCTGGGCCACACATTCAACCTGCACACAGACTTCCTGTCTCCTGACACTGAAGGTCTGCACACCAGAAGACACAATGCTACAAATGTGCAGGCAGAGCTGAGCTGAGGTTCCACATCCCACTTGGGACAGTTGGCTGCTCGCTTCCTGTCCCCTGCCTTCCCACAGTGGCCAGCTGCAGGCCGCAAGCTAGCAGGCACCTAGGGTTCTGTATCAGGATGTTTGGAGGCTGAAATAACCTGGAGGGCACGGGCGGTTCTGACCTCTGGTCTCCAGGCATTTGTCCTCCAGCCCTTCCCTACTGCTCTCCCACCCATGCAGTTCCAAAGGGTCAGGCAATGCAGGAACCAATAGGCTGGTCCTCTCACCAGGCACTGCAGGGTAGAATCCTGGCCTCTGGCTTGCCCAAGAGCTCCAGCAGGAGCTAGCTGCAGCAGGCGGTGCTCCGGGCAGAGGGCAGAAAAAGGGCTCAGTGTGACAGGGAATCCCCAGTGGAACATGCCACCTTGGCCGTCCCTTTGCCTGGTACCCTGTGAGAAAGGGGTGTAGGCTGGAAGGGTAACAGGCCGTTCCCTTAGCACAGGAGAAAAAAGAATGACAGACTGTGTCTGACCCTGCTAACCCACAGCTAAAGGACAAATCTTCTACCTGTATTATGATGATGATGATGATATTGAATCCTCATCCCTGCCAATACCAGGATGCCTCCAAGTCAACACACAGGTCCACACCTTGCTTTGTCTATGTGGGATCCCATCCAAGGTTCCCAAGTGGAGCCGCCTCATCCAGATCACAGTCCCCAGGCTCCAAACCAGCCTGGAATCCTCCTGAACAACCCTAGACGCTAAGAGCCTTCATGTGCAAGGAACCCATGCCCTGGCCAGCCCTCTGCTCCTGTGTTCAGTCCCAAAAACCTGATCCAGTAGTACACCCCACACAAAACCCCTGCCCATTCAACCCACTGCCCTCTGTGGGTGAGTTGAATGATGGAGAAATCACCAAAGCCGTTTTCTGCTGCCCCCAAAAGCGTGGACCAGAGCCTACACATCCGGAGCCCCTCCACGGCCACCATGAGCACTGTTCAGTCTCTGTGCCGGCAGCAGCAGGCCCCAGGCTGGTGGGTACCACAGGCCAGGAAGGGACCTCATGAAAGACAGGGCCCTGGTATCACCTCCATTATCCCTCCTCTACCTGCAGCTCCACCTGCCTCCCTGACACCAAGCATCCTCCCCCCGACCTCTTCCCTGCCTAGTCTCAGTGAGGCATTCTCTGACCAAGAAGTCCATTTGGCCCATAGTGAACCCCTTTTCCTAGGCTGGGTTCCACCATCACTGGCCACGGGGTAGTGATTCACCTGGCTGAAGCCGAGCCTGTCAGATTCTCCTTCCCAGGAACTGCAGACTGGGACCTGGAGATGCAGACGTGGGGAGGGCTTGGTGCTGACCCCCATGAATGGTGGCTGCAGAGAGCAGGTCCCTGAGCTCCCAGGCTGAGACCCCTGGAGCTTCTCTGACTTCTGCCCACCCCAGGTATAGCAGCTCCGGGTCTTCCTTCAGCTCAGTTCTCTCACTGCTTTAGGGTTCTTCCACTTCCTTCCTTTTCCCCCACTTTTAGTGAACCAAATCTGATTCTGTTGCTTGCACAACCCAGAGCTCAAACAGGGACTTGGAACCAAAAGTTGAATCAGGAATAAAGAGTATTTTTGCCCACTCATTCTCTGCCCTGTTTATCTCAGGAGGCTCTTATTTTAGGGGCCCCGGAGCTAGGACTGATGAGGTAATTAGAAACACATGTCCCCCTATGTGTTTCCAGAGAAACAGCTCAGACCGGGGCCCCTGGGAAAGGCCCCGGATGCCTCGAGGCCCTACTGCATCAGCATTTCTAGAGAACTTCTCACCCTGATGGCCAAGTCCTGAGCCCTTGCATGGAACGCTGGCGTCCCCTGTAGATGCTGCCCGCCACCCCCAAGTCCAGGGCCCCTGAAAGTGTCAGTGGCATCAGCTCGGCCTCCCTAACAAATCAGCCTGACTCAGGGGAGAAGGGACAAGCTTTATTTCTGGGAAGAAGACTGCTATTTCGTATTTAGCATAACTCTGCAGGGCCCACTGTGGCGCTTTGCTTGTGGCACTGGTAACTACGGACCACTTCCACCTGTCCTGAGCCGACGTCTTCACTCATCAATGGCGTCATCCTTGTCCTTCTTCCCTTCCTCAGTGTCTCCTGTATCTTTCAGATTTTGGCGAGCAAACTCCTCAAAAACTAAATTTTCATCCTGGAAACTAAAATAAAATAGACAACATGTTGATCACTGCACGCTCTTTGAAGCTGAAGCTGAAACAAGATCCTTGATCTCCTTTTTGCAACAAAGGAACAGATAGAGGTTTTGCCCATGATGGAACACGAAGCATGCCTTTTCCGCGTGGCTTTTGTCTAAGATCTCATTAACAAGCACACGCGAGAGCACGTGAAGGACGCAGAGCAAGCCGGCAGACCCAGCGCAGCTGTGTGGGCCCTACGTGCTAGGGAGCCGGAGGGCGGGATGTGGCCTGTGCCGCCCTGAGCGCACAGCACATGCACTAAGACGGAAAGCAGGGTTTGGGCTAGAGAAGGAGGTCCCGCCACAGGGAAAGCCAGGGCAGCGTCCAAGTGGCTTACCTTTCCTTAGCTGGAAGCACACATCAGGGAGGGGTTGGGGGCAGGGAGGGAGAGAGAGAGATCTGTTAGTGTAAATTCTGTCTCATGCCTGTACCTGGAAAATTCCTGCCTTGCTTAGGTGACCTTATAGCTTGCAGGATAATCCATACATGCAATTCATGATACCCGCATGTGATTCCTGCTTCTTGCCTATCCCACTCCCATTCTCCCTGCATCTTTAACCACTGCTTCCCTTTCAACGTCCACAACCCTCCCCCGACCCCCAGCAATCTCACCCCTGGGACATCTACCCTGATCATCCTCACCCCGTCCCATGTTGCTTCTCTTTTCAAAGTATTTCTCCCTCAGTGCCCCTCAGACGCCCGGTGCCCTGAGGGTGCCTGTTCCAGGCACCTCTATCCTACTGGGCTCCACAGGGGTGGGAGTTGGGACTTGACAGTTCACCAGCACCCCAGGGCTGAAATGTGCACTCAAGGCTGAGGGCCACCCGCAACTCTCTGTTTTCAACTTCTGTTAACACGTTGATCTCTTTTTGTTGGGTTGTTTGCGTGTGCTTTGTGTCCCCAGATTAATTGCTATTGGTTTGGGTGGTTTTTGTTCCTTCGTAGCTCTCTGCCCACCTAGTAAAGCACTGGTACAGTTAAAGAACTGCACCTGCCACATTTTGGGAGCATAGCAGCGGCTTGATGGTGAGCCACGGCTTTTGTGTCTCATCCCCAGCACTGTCAGGGGAAGTGCTCATCCAATTGTCCCCTGGACTAGAAACAGCCTGCAAGCCCACAGAGCTAAGGGATCAGATTACACCAACTGGGGCCATCGACTTGAGGTAGACAACAGGAAGAATCAAATCAACAGGATACCGTACAGATGCTCTTGACAGGGGACTTGCTAGACTTTCCACAGCACTTATGACCTACAAATTACTTGGCCTTGGGCTCTGGGTAGGCTTAACTACAACTCAGGCTTTCTCTGTTTAGAATCCAGGAACTAGGTGGAGAAGATATAAGATATGAGATTTGGTGACTCTAGAAAACAGAGTTTTGTGACCGTGGGGTGATTTGTCCTAATCCTGGCTCCCTGTAAAGGGACCCAAACATCCACCAACAGACGAATTGACAAACAAAATGTGGTTTTTGTCTCATGGTACAAAAGATCATTGTTTCGTGCTGACATTGTGATAAGTTCAATGTCAGGGCCATAATGACTGGAATATAAAAATGTCTGTGGAGGAAGAACAACTCCACTTCTCCCAAATTAAGTCACAAAGTCTGTTCAAAGCTCCAGAAAACAGCCCAACATAAACTATGGCATCTCCTTTTTAATGTCCTTGAGAGGAACCAGAAGGCATCTTAATCTCACACAGTTAAAAAATAGTCTTCTAATGATATAAGCATAAATGAATGAAAAATGTATGGCTAGACTGTAGTTTTCTCCAAGGGAAGGTTTTGGCAAAGTGCACTGAGGGTTTGAATCCAAAATATTTGGAAATGACACTTTCAGGCAAAATATTTTTGAGAGGAAACCTAAAATGAATATGAGGGCTCATTCTAATATGTAAATGCATTTCATTATCAACATAGAAAAGCCATTTATAAAATATGAGAAAAATAAACCCTGCTTTGCTTGTTTATACCACTTTTACTTAAAATATTCCTTACTACTATGGCTATGGAGAGTTCTCATTCAGACAGGTCCATTTTTCTTTCCTGTTAACTTGACTGCCTTAACACACAATGGAGAATTTTTTCTCAAAATTTCTGAGATTGCAACTATGTTATTTTTGCTGCTTCATTTACCTCTTCAGAAGGAGATTTATGGAGATCAAACTCACATACCATACAGCTCACCTCTTCACAGTGTATAGTCCAGTGGTTTTAGCACGTACACAGAGTTGTACAACTAGTGCCTTAACATCCACACAAGAGCCAATGCATTTACAGTTCAAATGAGCTGAGGTGTCAGGAACCAAGCCAGACCCTCTTTTCTCGTATTTTCTGTATTCTCATCACAACCACCCCTGTCAAAAATATCTATTATCTTCTAAATGCCTGTTAAGGCTCCTAAATGAAACAAGAAGGCTTTCACTGTACAAAAACCTCGGGCTTTCAAATTTATTTTTTACCTAAATCATCTTTAAATCTAAATTGACAGCAAAACATTTACTTTTAAATCATTCCTGGTAAAATCTCACCAAACTGTCCCCCTCCAAGGCAAGGATCCTACATCCTCCACACCCCACCTAGAGGGGGGCAGGCTCAGGAAGGCGCAGGTGAGGGATCTCACCTGGCCACACTCATGCTCAGAGGTGTGGTCAAGAAAGACTAAAATCTGTAAATCTGCAAGTAGTGCAAAGCTGGAGAAAGCCAAGAAAGGGCACGACTGACCTGGGTCCTCAGGCTGGGGGTGCATGAGGCGGAAGGGGACCTCAGTGGCCACTTCACTGTAAGAGAAGAACAACACTGATTAGCGAGAACACACGTGCGCGCACACAGTTGTAAATCACACAGCAAAGAGCTGTGGCTACTGGGATTCACAAAAGATTCCCAGGCCCAAGCTGAAAGACAATTAATTCTGTGGGATTGAAAACAAAACAATGCAAATTGACCAAGGGGAAATACATAAATAATAACAAAACAAAAATCAGGAAGTGATCAAGTTGGAATTTTAAATATCTTCCCTGGACCAAGAGCTAGAAACCTCACATAGGCATGACTGAGGCAGCTAGTATTTTTAGGTTCCTCTTACTCATGGTTATTGGTTGCAGTGATGTGATATTGTGGGTGAAGAAGAAGTGAAGTCCTGGAGAAAGGATAGTTTCTAAAAATATTCTTTGCCACAAGGTACACCGTTTTTTTTATGTTTTGTTTTGTTTTGTTTCGTTTTGTTTGAGACAGAGTCTCACGCTGTTGCCCGGGCTAGAGCGCCGTGGTGTCAACCTAGCTCACAGCAACCTCACACTCCTGGGCTGAAGCGATCTTCCTGCAGCCTCCCAAGTAGCTGAGACTACAGGCATGCGCCACCATGCCCAGATAATTTTTTCTATATATTTTTAGTTGGTCAATTAATTTCTTTGTATTTGTAGTACAGACGGGGTCTCGCTCTTGCTCAGGCTGGTTTTGAACTTCTGACCTTGAGCGATCCACCCACCTTGGCCTCCCAGAGTGCTAGGATTACAGGCGTGAGCCACCGCGCCCAGCCGGCACACCATTTTTAATGTGTTGGAATCTCTGTGAAGCTGGTGCATTGTGGCCTGGGCACAGTCCCTTGCTACAGAATGGAACAGAGATGAGTAGGAACCACTGAGTCCCAAAAGCTGAAGGGCTATGGAGTGACTTGGATTTACACAAAAAAAAAAAAAGGAGGGAAAGAAGACAGGAAGGTTTTGGGGATGCTTCCAAAGGCAGTGGGCATCATTTCCTAACACCTCTGAGCAGAACTGTGAGAAACAAGCTTTCACAGGTTACTATTTGGGACCCCCTGGCTTGTTGTCTTTGATAGCCTGAGAATCAAGCAGAGAAGGGAGGTGAAGAGGCTTACCTGGAGGTGAGCTCGCCCAGAAAGCTAGAAAACACAAAACAAATGGCTATGGTGACTGTCCGCAGTGGGAACATGACTTCATTTCCTCAGTCAGTCCCTGGGCTGAGGCAGGACACAGCCCAGTTCTCATGGCCCCCTAGTTCCCTAACTCACAGCTTCCAGGATCTTTGCATCCTTTAACACTCAATTTCACTCCTCCTCTCACCTGTGGGTTCATCTCTTTCTCAGGAGGATTAGTTAAAATGAGGACTCACTTAGGTTCAAGCCCTAAGGTTCAAAAATAAGCCATTTGGCAATGGTATTTGAAAGGAAAATGAGAATTCAAGTTTTTCCTTTTTTGGCTTGTTATTTTTTAAGAGACAGGGTCTTGCTCTATCACCCAGGCTAGAGTGCAGTAATGAGATCATAACTCACTATAACTTCAAACTCCTGGGCTCGAGCAATCATCCTCCTTCAGCCTCCCATATAGCTAGGACTACAGGTACATGCCACTACGCCTGGCTAATCTTATTTTTTTTTTAAAGATGGGGTCTTGCTATGTTGCCCAGTCTTGTCTAAAACTACTGGCCTCAAGTGATCCTTCCACTTTGGCTTCCCAAAGTGCTGGGATTAAAGTTTTTCTCTTTTTATGAGATTAAAACAATGAAAGAAATTGGCTTCAAAGGAAAATGGAAATCTGTTTCCTTAGAACTCAGATATTTGCCCTCTTGTATGAAAAGGAGCCCCCCAAATCCTATGATTACACATTTGGGAAGGGAAGGTCCTCTCTTTATGGATGTTTGCCTCTTAAGATGCAAATAAATGAAGATTTACTGAGAGTTCATTTTATAGCAGTTATTTTTTTTCTGAAGTACAATATAACATTCAACTAATTTTCATTCTTGCCTGTCAACTTCTATCACCTGGGCACATGCACGCCTATTTTTGCAAAGTGGTACTAATAGCCCACAAGTTAAATAGTCTGCTTTTCTACCTTTTTCCATGTGACATTATATTGGACAAAATTGTGAAACTAGACAAATAAAATCTCTCCAAATTCTACTTGGCAATCAGTAGAAGCTGAAGGCTTTCTCTTGCTTTCTGCCTCCCAATCACTCAGGAAAGTAGTGACCAAGCCAGAGTAAACCGAGCTTCGGCTCTGGGACACTCACCCTGACACCGTGAGCTTCACCTTGATCTGGTAAGACACCAGGATCCCCAGGACGGTCCGGTCTATGCCCTCCTTAATGCTGCCCAAAGAGAAGGGAAAAGGAGAAGGATGCAGGAGAGCAGCAAAGTAAGCCTTTAAGCTCCCATCCCGGCACACAGGCATGGGGGCGCTTCTCCAGGAATTGGTGAACTCAGCCAAGCTGCCAAAGTCCTAGAACTTTACGTTTGGGGCATTGGAGGGACTCCTGTGTTTTCCCTCTAGGAGTTCACAGAGGATGGAGCATGCTTCCCCTCCCTCGTGCTCAGCCTCCACTGATGCTCATGCTTTCTTGGCTCCTCCCTCATCTTTCTTGGCTCCTCCCTCCCCCCACCTGCACAAACTGTCATCCCTGGAAGGTACCCTGTCCTCCTGCCCTCACAGTCCTCCTGCAGGCTCTGCCTGCCTGGGTTATCTCAGCAACTTATCTCCCACACGCCAGGCTCCTCCTCCTGAGAGATCTTCCAGGTTGGAGCCTCCGCAGGGAGCCTTTGCCCCTCGGCCTTGGTGGTGCCCCAGCGCCCCCGTGCACCGGCCTTGCCAAGCACAAACCTGCCCCAGAACGCCCTTCTTTGCTCCTGCCCCCTAGGACCTCAAGTTGAAGTTCTCCCCCCTTTGCAAAGCCTCCTTGGACGCCTGCAGGCAGCACTGGGCCTCCCCGCTCTGTGCATGGGGACCCTCTGTTATAGCCCTCAGCACAGGGAACCCTGATTGTCCTTGGCCATACCTGACAGCTCTGTGTCCCCAGCACCCAGCATCAGGCCTGGCACCTGGGGAGAGCTCAGTCAATGTGTAAGTGACTGAACAGGGGGCATGAGACCCTCAGGTGTGCCCCAAGGACAGTGTAAGGTGACCTTCCTCAACAAAAACTTGATTCCGTATTCCACTAATACAGACCGAATTCCTACTACCCGACAGGCACCGTGCAGGTCATTTCAACACAGGCTATTATCACGTGTGATCCAACACAGAAGGCAGGAGTATTCTAGGGTGCTAAGAGCAGGAATTAAGGTCCGGAAAGAATATTGTGAACATGTAGCTAAGACTCCATGAGTAACGATGGCAAACACGCTGGAGAACCCGGAAGGCTGCAGGTTGTGCTGACAGGTCTGGGAAGGGAGCCAAGGTGGCGCCCGGCAGGTGCCGTGCCTCTGAGAGGAGGCACCTTGGACACGAGCTTCCAGGACCACAGTGCTCCCCAAGGAACTCCCTCGGCTCACTGGGCCCTAGAGCACCTTTAACACATTGACTGCCCTGCTAGAAAAATAAATTTTCCTTGGGGCCACAGTGTTTCATTAGGAAAAGAAAATAAAAACGTCAAAAACAAAACAATCCTTTCTAATGTAATGAAAAATGTGTTATTTTGTATTGTTTTCTGTGCGTGAGTTATATGCAACTTGAAAAATTGTTCACGTGGCTCCCAAGGTGGAGAGATGTGAGTTACATAAGCTTCTCGAGGCCCCGGGCTCAAAACTAGTGTGAGTCAAATACAACTCACATGGCAGTTAGTGTGTTCAAGAGGACAAGCTACATTTATTCTTTGACTCCTACCTGCTTTGTGCCAAATGTTTGCTGTCTACCCTGTTGGTCTCAGAGAATGTGAGAGTAGGGACTGTGGGGTCAAACACGCCAGCCCCTTGCTGGCATTGGCATCACCTCAGAGGTGGTCTCCTGGGACCACAGAGGGAGCCCTCAGCTCCCTCTGTGGCAAGAACGGGCCTCGAGCTTGGGTCTCCCACCCAGACACTCGGGGTTCACCAGCAGACATGCTTCCCAGAGCAGGAGCCTGAAAGACCTTTGGAGCCTCCCTGCACAGTCCTCGCTAGATCTGCAGCCCGAACTGGCCAGTGCTTCTTTGAGTCAGCCTCGGCAGATCAGCGCTTATTTTCATTATATTCAGTCAACAGCTGTAGCCATCAGGACCTCCCATTCTCCACTCTTCCTGATGGAAATGAATAAATGAATGAATGCAGCCAATTGCATTGCCCGCCTCATATGCTTAGGGCGCTACACCAGCTCTGATGCTTAGACAGCAGTATCTGACATTTCTGGAGCACTGACTGTGTGACAAGCAGCACGTTTTACATAGGCTGTGTCTTAATCCTTATGGCCACTCTGTGAGATTGGACTATTACCACCCTCACTTCACAGACGAGAGAACTGAGGTTCTCAGAGAGCTCAAGCCACTTGGCCAGGGTCGCCCGAGGGCAGGCAGTGGAGCTGGGGTTAGCACAGGGCTGTCTCCAGGGCTGCCCACAGGTGTGACCCCCACCTCGTACCAGGGTGGGAGTGGAATCCCTGTTTGGGCCCCTGAGTCTGCACTCCCCACCGCAAATGCCAGCCCGCCACGCTGCGCGAGCGTGCCTGTGAGCCCCGGGGGCACAATGAGAAGGAAGCCACCCACAGGTCTCGGCTCATGTCCTGAGCCTCGGGGACTCACATGGTGCTGGAGGCGAGGTTGGTGTCCTCGTGCTTGATCTTCCCGTCCAGGGCGATGCCTCTCCTTTCTCGATTGTTGGACAGCAAGGGCACCAGCGTCAGTGTCTTGGTCAAAGTGCTGTTTGGTGGCACTTTTTCTCTGGAGGAAGAAAAACAGAGAGGAGATTTAACCATAGAGGCTACCATCAACCCCACCAGACCATATTTGCCATTTAGCGTCTGCCAGGATCAAAGTTTCCATATGGACTCACTAGGAAGATCGGTTCAGGTGCCTGCACACTTGCCTTACGAGAAGCAGAACAGTGTTACTGAAATCCCACAGTGGGCTGGCAGCAACAGTAGGGCCTTTCCTCAAGCATCTTGGCCTACTCTGAATTGCTGAATTTCTAGAACATTCTATGGCGTTAAATGAGACCAGCTGGCGCAAGAATCGATCGCCTCCTGAGACTTTAGAACAATGCAGTGGGCCGCGGGGCCTTGTGTCTGCAACGCGCCCAGGCTGGAAAGGCTCTTGCTGCTGAACACTGTCGCTGCTGGGGGATCGAGTGCGACTGCATGGTGGGTGGGGGAGAAGGGCGACGCAGGGCCCTCCATTTGGGAACCCCACACAGGCCTGGCCTGGGTTCAAGGCAGCACGTGCCCTTCTCTGCCGATCTTCTTGATTATCAGTTGGCTGTGCGTTTCCCGACAGCTGACAGATGGCAGGGACCCCATGCCAAAGGGTGGGTCTGAGACTGAGCTGGGGACACAGCAGCGAGCGTTTCTCCAGGGCCTGGCGGCATCGCTGGGGTCACAGTGCAGCCTCTGAGGCTGGAAGGTCGGCTCTACCTCTCGCGTGCACACCCTGTGCCAGGCCTGGTCTCAGTCGTAGCCTCTCACCTTATCCCCTCACAGCCCCATACCAAAGAGGCGCCCTCAAGATCCCCGTTTTGCAGACGGGAAGTGTGCCCATGGTCACATGGCTGCACACGCTTTGACAGCAGAGCCCATGTGTGCCGGCAACACGCCCTGCATCCTATAGCCACCAGCAGAAGGCAGGGTGTAGCCTGAAAACCCTGCCCAGGAGCTGGCATGAGGACTGTTTCCTGAGCCGGTTCCAAGAGAGCTGGAAGTCTGAACTGCCTCCTTCTGGAAGGACTGCCCTATTCGATTTCCCTGGGGAGTCTATAGCAGCTGCAGCTTAACCTGCCTCTAGTGTATATGGGCAGCTCTTTACAGAGTTTTGCTAGAGCCCAGGGTGGCCCACGTCCTCCCATCTGGGTCGTGGTGGAGCCTTTCTTTATAAGCTTCATTGGGCAGTAGCATTGACAAAGGCAGAAATTGCATCATAAAGGTGACCGGAATAGGAAGGGGGCCCTGGTCTATGTTCAGATGAGAGCCGTTCCTGCCGCAGAGCTTGCCAGAGGACTGTGCCAAGGCCCTGGGGCCACTTCCCAGAGCACTCAGGATCTGGACTAGGTGGTGGGGAGTGGCTTGAGAGTCAGGTCTGACCTGTTTCCAAGGAGGCCTGCCCACCAGAGCTCCAAGAGCCACAGGGTTCTGGGACGATGGCTTGTGCTCTGCAGCCTTCTGAGTGGCCGCTAGCCTGAGACCTGCTATCATGATCTGGCCCAGCTTCCAGCCTACCCTCACCTTTGGGGGAGACCCTGGAATGATTTCCAGTTTCCTGGGAATCATTTGGCCCAAAGTGCACCCAAGAGTTTAAAACAGGCCCAGCTAATGGGCTATATATTAGAGGAAATTCATCCAGGAGCGTTTGCCTCTGTTGCTGTTGAGCAAATGCCGCCAGGCGAGCCAGGGCACCAGGGTGCACAGGGATGACCCTGCGAGGTAGGGCAGAGCCCAGGCCTGGCAGAAAAGGAGGCAGTTAGGGGGTGGCAGTTCTTTCCTGCTGTCCTCCCCTGCAGACCTGTATTGCAACTTAAAGCTGAATCTGTTCTGAGTAAATAGTAACACTTTTTCTTAAAGTTGCATTTTTAATATTATGTAATAGTATCTTAGTGAATCCGTTTGTCTTTCCTCACCACCAGCCCCAACCTTCCTCCAACCCTGGTAATACTTGTTACATACAATGGTGCTTAGCATATGCCAGCGAGGCAGAGAGGACAGACCTGGGCGAGCTCTCCTCTCAGGGTGCCTCTCCTACCCACTGCCAAGCCTGCGTAGTAAATAAACCTGACTTCCTGCCACAGAGCAAAGGTGGGCAGGTCTCTCATGCCAGCATGCAGGAGCCACAGCAGGATTCTCATTTGGTTTTGACTCTAATAAAGGGAGAAAAGTCATTCACGGCAACCGGCTAAGAAACAATAGATACATCATTCTAATCTAGCCGTCACTGGTATAAGATTTTCAAATTGAGAAGGTCAAATGATGGGGAATCCTAGCCTGGGTGGATAGTTCATTTGACTCTCTGGTGGGGGACAGAAATAGTATCCACTCCTAACCACTCAGTCCCAGGACAAATAGAAAGGCCCTGCTATTCCCATGGTGACATTTCCGACTTCTCTCCTCTCTGTCATACTTTAGCTTGCCCTGAGCCTCAGAACCCCTGTGCGATGGGCAGCGGAGGTGTAGTGAGGCTAACTCGCTGTGCAGCCCTTGTGGGGAGGAAGGGGAAGGAAGTGGAAGGCTGGCGGGCTCGCCCTGAGCATTCTAGTTCCCTCTTCAGCCATGAACAAAAGAGGAACTTGACAAAGAAGGCCAGGCGGCCCAGGAAATGGAAGCCCAACCAGCTACTCACTGTGCTTCCTCCGTGGCCACCGGCTTGACGTAATAGTCGCTTGAGTAGAGAACCACATTGGCCACTTGTTCCACTGCAGAAGGAAGACAGGAGTCGGGTGATCAGCCCCAGGTCCCTCCACGCACGTGCCTGGTCCCCGCTGGCCTTCCAGAGACACACCGCCCCGCCCGCACCTCTCGGATGACCATTTTAGTCTGCTTCCCAGGTCCCGCCCCCAGCCCATGGCTTCAAGGCTGCAGTTTCCAAGTTCTGGCCTCAGCCCGTTTCTGGTCACCCGTAACTGACTCTGTGTCATCTCCCACCCGTGACTCAGTCTCCTGAGACTGCAGCTCCCGGGAGACGCCTCCTCTCCTCGGAGCCCATGCTATACCCCTGGTGTCCTTCAAAAGCACACTGTCTGCCAGCATCCCAGAACTCACTGTCTGCTCTCCTGGCCCAAACCCAGCCCACACAGGTAGCTCCACGGGCCCAGAGGGCTTTATTGGGCCAGATAAGTGCCCCTCAGGAAGTATGGTCAGGCTGAGAAATTCTAGAAGACTCTGCCCTCTAGTTTTTTTTTTGTTTTTTTTTTTTTTGAGACAGAGTCTTGCTTTGTTGCCCAGGCTAGAGTGAGTGCCGTGGCGTCAGCCTAGCTCACAGCAACCTCAAACTCCTGGGCTCAAGTGATCCTCCTGCCTCAGCCTCCCAAGTAGCTGGGACTACAGGCATGCGCCACCATGCCCGGCTAATTTTTTGTATATATTTTTAGTTGGCCAATTAATTTCTTTCCATTTATAGTAGAGACGGGGTCTTGCTCTTGCTCAGGCTGGTTTCGAACTCCTGAACTCGAGCAATCCGCCCACCTCGGCCTCCCAGAGAGCTAGGACTACAGGCGTGAGCCACCGCGCCCGGCCTCTGCCCTCTAGTTTTGAGAAGATCCTACCAACCTAGTGCTTTAATCTTCTTCACTGTCTTCTCCGTGTTATTGGTCACAGTCACGGTCACAGGGATGGGCTCCCCGTGGAAGTAGATCTGGAAAAGTCGGCAGACACGTCAGGAAAGGAGAACAGAGTGTGGTGGCACCCAACTTTACTCTCAGGGCTGTCTCGATCCACCTCCATCCCCTTAGCTAGAGCAAAGGGGGCTGAATCCTATACTCTTAAGGGAGAGGACGTGATGGCCAACCCTCCAGGGAAGGGTCCACAACACGTTCCACCCAGTCTGTGGGAGGTAGGGGAGGATCCCAGAGTTCTGAGCGGCACGTTTGGGGTCTTCAGTGGAGTCATGACGTTACGAGGGGCAGGAATGAAAGGAAAGGAAACCTCCAGCATGACCCTGTGCAATCCTGCCCCAGGTGGGCGCACCCTTGCATGTGTGCACAGCCACACACATGCACATACATTGTGCACATGACTGACTGTTGGTGCCCAGAGGGACCAGGGACAGCCTCCCACCGTGACACCTCTAATAGATGACATCGCCCCTTGTGGCTTCTGTGACACTTCAGTTTCCTGGGCAGTAAAGAATTTGGGATGCCACGCCTAGTGACGCTGCACTAGCGAACCAGGCCCACGGGGCAGAGGGAGGGCAGGGGCAGCTGTGTCGGTCACATGACAAACACCCATGTCCTGTCCCCATCTGTCAGGATGGCTCCTGGGTAGAATGCAAGCCAATCTGACCCTGTTCCAAGGGTCACAGTGACCAGTTCCAAATTATGAAAGACACTGTGTTTTCAGCTATCCTAGAAACAAGGTTATTTATGACGCACCCACAGAGCTAAGGGCTGGTGAAGAGGGGGCAGTGGCCGTCCCCAGGCCTGCTCCCTCACAGGGCAAGGCAATGGGGGTGGGGTAGGGGATTACCTCTTTGCTGAGGGAGACAGTGAGCTGCAGGGGCTTGTCGGACATGAAGAACTGCCAGGACGCCTCGGCACGGGGCTGGGGGCCCATCTCGGGCGGAGCGTGTTGTACTTTCCGGATCAGTAACCGCACGGAGCTCCTGCCGAGAAAGTCCCAGAGAACTGGGCTGAGTGCCCGGCTGCCGCAGGAGGGCCTCGGGGCTCTCCCCGCAGTCATGTGGGATGCTTCAGGAATGAAGAGATGGGATGAGGCCGAAGAGGGACAGGATGCTGGGCTGAGCCAGAGGATCTGGTTTCCGGTCCCTTCTCTGGTATTCCACCGGCCAGGTGGCATGGGGCTGGGCCACGCCCTCCAGGGAGGGCCACTTACAGCCTCTGTCAGACTCCGGCTCTGCCTCCTTCTGGGTGAGGCTGATGTGTGACCGCACCATGTCCCCTATGTGACATGTGACGCACTATTACTACCACGCATTATCGTAAGCGTCCAGAGATGTGCATGTGGTGCAGGAGGAGAAAACGTGGATGGCACAGAATAAAAAGAAAGCTGAGCCCAGGAGCTGGGAGGCTGGGGCTGCTTAATGGTTACAGACTAGCTGTTCCAGGCGGTGGAAAAGTTCAGGTATAGAGAGTGGTGATGATTACATGACATTGTGACTGTTCTTAACACATGGACTGCCACACTAGGAAAAACAATTTTTTCCTTGTGGCCACAGTATTTTATTACGAAAACGGAATAAAAACTTCAAAAACAAAACAATCCTTTCTAATTTAATGACAACTGTGTTATTTTGTATTATTTTCTGTGCGTGAGTTATATGCAACTTGAAAAAGTTCACTCGGCTCCCAAGGTGGAGAGATGTGTTACGTATGCTTCTCGAGGCCCCAGGCTGGAAACTGGCGTGAGTTAAATGCAACTCACACAGCAGTTAATGTGTCAATGCCACTGAATCGTACATTTGAGAGTGATTAAAATGATCAACTTCCTGTTTTATATATTTTACCACAATAAAAATATTTTGAAAAAAGAAAACTAAAGACAGGGGAGTCCGGAAGCTTTTAGGGACTTGCATGAGTCCCTGAGGTTACTAACTCCCTGTCACTGTCCATAGGCAGGTCAGTCCCTAACTACCTTAACCTGGAGCGGCACCCTGACCCCGGCCACGCTGGCTCTGTGGGGAGAGTCCTGCCACACAGAGACAGACTGGGGGCACTTTCTCTCCTCCGCCCCCACGCCCTGCACCCCTCGCCCACTCCCATAACACTCTCTCACCTCTTCGGGATTTTGTCCTCTTCGCCATCGGCGCAGTCTGTGGCGAACGCTTTGACCTCGAAGTCGACGCCGCAGCACTATTGGGGACAGAGAGCAGACAGGCAGTCAGCACCCCCTTCCTGGGCACGGGGACAGAGGGGCACAGCTCATGCAGGGCACGTGATGTGGCACCACCTCTCTTTGTCTTAGCCTTATCCTAATTAAGGCTGTGCCATGAAGCCGACACGTAGAAGTGTACTAGGCCGGGCGAGGTGGCTCCCCCCTGCAATCCTAGCACTCTGGGAGGCTGAGGCGGGAGGATCGCTTGAGCTCAGGAGTTCGAGAGCAGCCTCAGCAAGAGTGAGACCCAGGCTCTACTTAAAATAGAAAAATTAGCCAGGCATGGTTGTGTGCACCTGTGGTACTCAGGAGGCTGAGGCAGGAGGATCCCTTGAGCATAGGAGTTTGAGGTTGCTGTGAGCAAAGCTGATACCTCAGCACTCTAGCCAGGAGACAGAGCAAAACTCTGTCTCAAAAAAAAAAAAACAAAAAAAACAAAGAAAGAAAGAAAAGGATACTAATAAGAAAATAATGACATTAGCATGAGGAGTGCGCCACGGACCCAGAGCCCCTCAAGCAAGGGGAGTCGGCCTCCTGGTGTGTCAGGAGCCATGGAGGGTGACTTGCGTCCAGGCTGGTCCTCGCCTCCCACCAGCTCACAGACTCTGTGGTCCTCAAACATGACTCCACATGTGTGGTCCTGACTTCCTGCTGCCTGCAGCAGGGGCCAGGGGCACAGGTGCTTCCAGGGCCAGTGCCGGGGCCACGAGTGCCCTGCAGGGGCGTGTGCACCCTGACCTCAGTGGTCACTGGCTGTTCAGCTGCAGCCAAGCGCAGACAGGCAGCAGCAGCACCTGGTGCTGGCAGTTCTTAGAATTTTGAAAAGAAACAGGACATGGAATTTGGGGTGAAATTACCTGATTTTTAAATTAACTAAATAAAAAAACTTGGAAGCATTGCAGGGACCAAACAAACATATCTGCCAGTGACCTTCCGCTCTCGGCCCCGGCATGTGACTCCCTGGGCCTCTCACACAAGCCCTCCAGAGCCTGGCTCATCTCTGCATGTTCACAAGAGTGGGGGGGCCCACCTGCCCCACACCAAATGCCTGGAGGGGAAGTGGAGTTGGCAGCCAGCACATGAACCCAGCTGCATCCACAGGGGTATCTAAGCCACACACTTACTGGTTCTGCAATGGTGGAATCACAGCAGTCCTAAGCTCTATGTTGAGAATAAATACGCACGGTTCCCCAGGCCAGCCCCGCTCTGCTCACCCACTGCCCCAGCCTCATTGCCACTCCTGCATGAGCCACACTAGTTCACGCATCGGCCTGGCATGTGTGTTCCTTCTTCCTGACACGCTTATCTCCCTCTCTCTTTATATTTATATATTTATTTGGCAAACTCCTATGTATCCTTCAAACCCCAGCTCAAAGGGCCCCTGGGCCGCAGAGCACCAAGCCCCCAGGCACTTGGGACGCTGCTCCCAGGCTCCCTGGGCCCAGGGCATACCCCCTTTCCTGCCCTCTCCTCTCCTAGAACAAACAGGTGGTGCTTTGTTTGGCCTGTACAGTGTTATAAAAATTTTTTAAATCTGGTAAAAAAAAATCTGAATTTCGGGCCTCTCTTTAAGAGCACGGTAAGCTCCGCCAAAGCCGACTGTGTTTTCCCCTCTTCCTCAGTGCCCTCAGCTTCCGCCATCTCGGCTGCCCACACCCCATTTTCCTGGGCCAGCAGCTTTCAAATGTTTCAGAAGATTTCTAACGTGGCCCACGGAACAGACACGCGTGTGTGAAACAACTCTCGTGACACCATATTTAGCTTTGCTATGTGTGAAGCACTCTGAGGTTTCCCATTCTGTTCCATATCATCCTACTCCATTCTAGTCCATTCCAGTCCATCCCATTTTTAAAATGCCATTTCTGATCCACTGCATTGATTTCACAAACCACCAAGGGTCAGGACCCCCACACTGAAAAACACTGCCCTAGCCCTGTCGTCTGTCCCTGCCCCCCCCCCTGCCCCCACAATCCACTCTCTGTCCTCTTATCCTTTTAGCTCCCTCCCTTGTAAATCTCAGACGCAGGTAACTCTCACTGCCTAAAATCCTTGGGTCCCAGCACCTCTCACTCTGCTCCTATCCTCACTACCAGCCTTCCGTGCCCAGAGTCCCTGGTCCATCCTGTCACTCCAGCCAGCTCCCACCCACCCCGTCCTCAGAGAAGCAGTCAGAACCTGTGGTTCAGAGGCCACCAACGGCTCCCACTTCACTCAGGCAAAACCCCAAGTCCCTGCAGCGTCTACAGTTTTCCATGATAAAAAGCCATTTTTAAAAGACTACAGAAGAAATGAACAGATCCATGGCATTTCTTCTTGAACTAACCTTCCCTGTGTCTTGCGGAGCCGGCTGCAGCATCACTGAACAGGGCAAGTAGTCGGGAAACTGCAGAAAGAAACAAATAAAAAATCATTCTCTCAGGGGAATCATTCCACAGGTAATATGCGATCCTCATACAGAAATTGGAAAATGAATGAAGATGTTAAGCAAGAAAAAAGAAAAAACATATCCTCCCAAACTGCTGACACCCAGATTAGCGTTGCTAACACGACCTTCCCACAATGTTCTACGTGTGCACAGACACACAAGTAAGGATGTACGTGTGTGTATGTTCTACAGAAATAGAACCAGGTGATGAGCACAGCCTTAGTCTGGTTTACTCACTTCATTAACCCTACCTAACCCTGTGCAGAAAGCACCAGGACCACTTTTCCATGTCATGAGATGCAGTTCTGTGCCACCACAGTCAGGGCTCCTGAGACACACGCCTCACCTGGCCAATCCCTGTGACTGGCTACTCAAACAGTCTGGGCGTTTTGCCCTTATAAACAACACTGCAATAAATATCCTTTCTATACTTTAGCATAGTTTCAGCCAATTAATTCCATAAGCTATATGGCAAGGAACAAAAATCACATTTTTTAAGGTTTTCAATACATGTTGACATGCCGTCCCCAAAAGGTTACGGTGTTTCAACACAGATGCATGGGAGCACCCAGGACCGTATCACTTTTTTAAATAATAAAATGTAATTTTATAAAATAAAAAATGTAGTCAAATAGAATACCATTTACCACTTAATTTACCATTTAAACATTTCAAATATACAGTTCATTGGCATCATGTGCTGGACATTCACATTATTCTGCAATAATCACCACCATCTAGCTCCAGAACTTCTTCATCATCCCAAACTGACGCTCCGTACCCCTTAAACCCCAGCTCCCCATTGCACCTCCCCAGCCCTGGGAACCTCTATTGTGCTGTCTGTGTGGATCTGACCACCCCAGGTACCTCCCATGAGTGTAACCATATGGTGTTTGTCCTTTTGTGACTGGCTCCTTTCACTTAGCATAATGTGCTCAAGGTTTATCCATGTTATAGCACGTGTCAGAATTTTCTTCCCTTCTAAGGCCGAACCATATAGCTTTGGAGGAGTATATGTTAAAAAGGGTGGCTACTGCTTCCCCAGGTCCAGCTCACCTCAAAACTTGAGAGAGCTTGTGCACTGGCACCACCACTGGTTGCCAGGCTTCATTCACTGGGTGAGACACGGCCCACCAGAGAGGTGAGGGGCTGTGTCTCCCAAGACCCCCAAACCGTGGACAAGGCTAAAGATGACCTCTTTTTGCTAAGATCTCCTGTCCTGTAGGGAACACTTTCTTGCTTAGGACTCCCCAGGGCCAACCAAGGGCCACTTCTGTGCCCTTTCTTTTTATAGCAGAGCAAACGAAGGGGAACACATGCTCATGTAATTAGGTGGTCGGACAAAGGGACGTGTCCAAACGGTGGGTTGAAACGGTGCCTTCAAAGGCCAAGAGGCTATTTTGAAGGACTTAAAAAAAGACAATCACAGACCGTGCAATCTAGAATTTCTTTCAAGGGTGCAATTTACAGGCCCGCAGATGTGAAGTCCTTCCTCTGTTCCCTTCCCTGTGCCCCTAGTCACACCGTAGGGTGCTGTGGGTGCAGGACGCAGGGCCGGGGCTAGGAGTCACCCACCGTGAGCAGAAAGGGGTATGTGTTGCCCCCCAGCTTCTTCAGCAGGCTATCCTGCAGTTTCGTGGGGGTGTTCGCGGCCCCCACAGGAGGGTACACCTGGATCCGAGAGAAGTAGAGGTCCCTGCGGAAGCTCAGGCCTATCACGTCGATGTCCTCCTGGCCGTAGCGGAAGGCGCAGGTCAGAGAGACATACACTGGGAAGGAGACAAGGACAGTGTCAGACATGCTCTCAGCCTGGTGTCCACCACCAGCAGGCAGTGTGGGCAGCAGGATTCCAACCTGTAGCATCTGGAAGCTATGGGGTTTGAGGGAGCCGTACTATGCAGCTGGTCCACGCATTTTCGCAGAATCGGCACCTTGCTGAGGGTCACTGTGAATTAGGCTACACGGTCTGTGGGCAGGTTTGAAAGCATCTTTCTCCCAACCACATCATTTTGCCAAAAAGGTGGAAATCTACGTGCAGAGAATGTGAATCCCCGTCCACCTGACTCCCTGTCCCCATCCTGCCCCCCCCCCCTCAACCAACCGCCCCAGGAACCCAAGAAGCCCCGAAAAAACAACGCCGCCGGGGCCCGCCCGGGGGCAAGCCGGAAGGGGTAAGGGCAGGAGGGTGGGAGGCAGAGAGGAGCTGCTGGGCGCAAACTAGTTCCACCCCTTTTCACGACTGAAAGTGTGCCCCCCAGTGGGCCACAGAACTGTAGGAAAGCTCATATACAGTTTTTGAAAAAGACACAAAGCACATATTTCTCGAATACGAAGCACATCAGAAGTGGCACCTCTGAGTACTCGTTAGCTGTTGGTTGAGGATTTTGTCTGTGTCAGCCCCAAGGGCAACTGCCCCTTACCACCAACGCAGAAGAGCCACTGACCACTTACCCACCTGTCATTCGAGGTGCCCAGAGATGGCCAGCCTCACCAGGAGTGGCCTTCCCTGAAAGCAGGCACCCTTCTCTGGTCAAGGGGCTTTTAGGACTCCAACCAGACTCCTCCTGGTGCCAGAGAGAAGCAGGGCACTCAGGAGGAAGGTGGAGATGACACAGGGGGCAACTGGGGACCCCATTATGGCTGCGCCCCCTCGATACTGACAGCCCCACAGCTGACGTATTCCAGCAGGCACATCTAGGGTCCGGAACAATTCCTTGTGGTTGCCAATAGCAACCACTCAGCAAGGCATATTTAGAATGGAACTGAGTCAGTGACATTATCATAAGGCTAGCTTGAATCTGTTCTGATTTAGTTTATGCAACTGTGATTAGTAACAAGTTACTTGCCACTCGCATCCCAGCTGCCAGAGATCTTCAAGGGCACCGCGACACTGCGGTTCAGAACCATGGAAGGAGGCATAGACATAAACTCTGGGTTCTACTTCCCCTGCCTCCCATCAGGCATGATTTCCTACTTTTTGGATAAAGCCACTAAGGAGCCCTGAGGCTGCCCCAGCACAGGTTACAGGGACAAGCACACGGAGCGACAGACCTGGGTTCCGTGCACCATCGACTTCTCTGCTGCCCTGGAAATGGCTTCGCAGAGTCCTGCCAGCTCTGGCATGACCAGGACCCTTGTCCCGGGCATCACGCAAGGGAGCGGGGGTGAGCAGGCCTGGCGCCAACTGCATGTGCGTCAGCCGTCCCTCCACACAAATGTCCCTCCCCAGAACCAGGCCCAAGACACGCCCATCCCTCCACGGAGGGCAAGAAGTGCCAGCTCACCTTTCTTTCCCTTCACGAGCTCGGGATCAACCAATACGACACCATCTAAAGCAAAACAGAGCAAAAGAGGGAGAGAACAGTGAGGGTGGAAGAGGGCAAAGAAACCAGATGCTACTTTAAATACTATACATGCTTTTTACTTGCACATGTAACCCATGTCCATTATAGGAAAATTAGAAAGAGAAGTTAGGTGAAGAGAGAACAAAGTCATTCAGATTCCCACTTCCCAAAACTATCCATTGTCAAGATATCGGTGCAGAATTTTTTTCCACACATATTTGCATTTAATTACATGAATAGTTTTAACTATAAAAAAGATCCTAGTTAACTGCTTTCCTCAAACAACTGCACATTGCAATCATCTATTCGTGTTCACACACACACATACATATGTACATACATAAAATATGTACGAATCATTTTGCTAGCTACATATTACTGCACTGAATGGATGTGCCATCGATTACTTAATTGGCTGCTACTGTTAGGGCATTTGGGTTGTTTCCAGTTTTCCCATAATAATGACACTGTGATGAACAATCTTCGACATACAGCTTCATATCACTTCATGACTTTTAAAAAACAAACTATAGAATTGGATCTGGCTTTTTGATTACATGCTGCCAAATAACCTTCCAAAAAGGGTTTTGCCAGAGGACATTTTCATCTTCGGTGCCTGAAACTGCCAGTTTTTCTACTTTTTTTAAAAAAGTTTTTGTTTTGAAATAATTATAGATGCAGAAAAGTTGCAAAGATAGTACAGTATCCTTCATCTACTTTCTTCCAGTGGTTACATCTGACTTAATTATAGGACAATATCAAAACTAGGAAGCTGACATGGTGCATTTTGAAGGACACTTTGAGCCTTTCCAATTTGGAGCTATTATTATAAAAATAAAGCTGCTATGAACAATCACGTACAGTTTTTTGTGAGGACGTAAGTTTTCATTTCTCTGAGATAATGACCAGGAACGCAATCACTGGGTCATACGGTGAGTGGTTAGTTTTGGAAGAAGCTGCTGAAGGAGTTTTCAGAGCAGCTGGACCATGTTACCTTCCCATCGGCAACGTGTGAGTGGTCCAGTTTCTCCGCATCCTCATCAGCATTTGCTATTGTCACTATCTTTTATTTTAGCCATTTGATAGCATATTATGATATCTCATTGTGGCTTTAATTTGCCTTTCCCTCGTGGCTAATGATATGAACATTTCGTCATGTGCTTATTTGTCACCCCTGTGTCTTCTTAGGTGAAATGTCTTTTCATCCCTTTTGCCCATTTGCTCATTGGATTTCGCTTTTTTACTGTTAAGTTTTGAGCATTCTTCGTATATTCTAGAAGAGTCCTTTGTCTCTTCACACTCTAAAACTGTTTCCAATCAGCTGGTGGCACCTCATGGATGTTTTAATTCGCATTTCTTTAATTAGATTATTAGCAAGACCAATTTTTTTTTTTTTAATTTTTTTTTTTGAGGCAGAGTCTCACTGTGTTGCCTGGGATAGAGTGCCATGGCATCAGCCTAGCTCACAGGAACCTCAAACTCCTGGCCTCGAGCAATCTTTCTGCCTCAGCCTTCCAGGTAGCTGGGACTACAGGCATGGGCCACCATGCCCAGCTAATTTTTTCTATACGTATTTTTAGTTGGCCAAATAATTTCTTTCTATTTGTAGTAGAGACGGGGTCTTGCTCTTGCTCAGGCTAGTTTCGAACTCCTGACCTTGAGCGATCCACCCACCTCAGCCTCCCAGAGTGCTAGGATTACAGGCTTGAGCCACCGTGCCTGGCCGAAAGACCGATTTTTAAAAATACAAAACTAGCAGCTGTGTGATGACTTAAAGGAAAACCAGCATTACAATTTTACTCCAAACAACTTACCCACAGGCTCTATTTGGCTGACGTGGTCTACGTAGTCTCTCTTCCCCAGGTAGATGGTCACCTGTGGGAAGAAGAGGTATGGGTTCTAAATGGCCAGAGAACACTAAACTAAGGCATCCGTGTTAAAAACTAGCAATAAACAAATCTTGTCATTAGACTTGAAAAGAGGAGGCTCTGCAGCGTGTCTGTCACTCCCTTCTCTCCTGGCTAGGCTGTGGGCAGAGACGAGGGATTTCAGGCGAGGTGCGCTCTATCCTCAGTCCTCACATATCTGCTCTGAGGAATTCTCCCCACCTCTTTGAAGGATCAGGGGCTCCCTGCTCTCTCCACCTTTCCCCATCGAGCCCAGGTCTGCTATCAACCAGGAAACTTGAATTAACTGATAACAATTTAGTCGAAAGTTACAACTATGCAAATGAGGCTACTATCATTCACTTGCGTGTTAAATCTTTTATTTCTAGCTGTGGAATAAAAGGTTTCTCCTCCTTGTTAAAAGAATTTCTGGACTGAGCAAAGGGACGGGAGTTCTGGAGGAGTCCTTGAAACCCTACCAAGTGAGCTTCTGCACAGGTACACCTGAACCCACGCTCTGAGGAAGGTGGGGGGAGCTGGCTGGGGAGGGGATGACCACGGTCTGGGGCTTCATCCTGTCTGCACCTGGGTCCTGGGCAGTGAAGGTCTCTTCACCCCCTTTGTGGGAGACCATGCATTGGGTCCCACAGCTCACCACGCTAACCCACAGTTAACGGTAAGAAGTCAGAGTCTTCTAGGCATCTTCAAGCCAGTACTGTCTACTCCAGTGTCTGCTAGGTGCACCGATGAATGAGGCACACACCCCAGCGAGTCCCTTCTTCTAACATATTTTTAATTCCACAAATAGCCCAAATCATTTTTGTTGGCATTAAATCATCTCCTATGCTCTATGCTCTACCCTCCCACCCCTATCGGGTGCCCCAAAGTGGGTCCCTGTGCCTTCTAGGTTATTCGCATGATTGATGCTGAAGGGATTTCAGGCAGATGCCACCAGAGCCCTGGTTCGCAGAGAAGGTTCCACGGGAAACCTCATAACCCCAGCGCCAAGTGCTTTACGGAGGCCGAGGTGGCTGGGGTGCATGTAGGAGGCAGGCGTCTGAGAGAATGAGCTGCCAGACACACACTCCAACATGACCCTTGGCTGCAGTGGGCACCAGCATCTTAAACACCCTGGGTGTCTTAGCTTTGCCCTGCAAATCCATGCTGCACCCAGGGGGGCTGGCACAGGTGAGACGCCCTAGTGGGTGCCCTGGTCTCTGGCTTCTGGGTAAGGTGGGCCTGATGTTGGTGGGAGGGAAGAAGGTGAGCAGGTGTTTGTTCCCCACTGGCCTGGGGCTGGCACAGCTGTCTACCGGGGGTCACTGCTCCTGGCAGGTGGCCCTGCTGGCCTCTGGGTTCTAGTACCTGCTCAATTCCTCATGCCTTAGGCCCAGGGAGGTACCAGCGCCCAGCTGCCACTGGCCCCGCTGTGGCGTGTTGAGCTCCTTCTTGTGATCACTTCCATGCCTACCACGCTTGAGCAAACAGCTTCTTTTAAAAACTCTTAGCAAATCCACCTATTTGGAAGATGTTTTGCAGGAACCCTAATGAATGCGTTGCTACTCTGCTGCTCAGCGGCTGCTCACTCGCTCCTGTGCAATAAAATCCTTCTCTTGCACATGGCCAACAGGGTCATTTGCTGCCTGGTGCCAAAAGCCACCCTGAGAGCCCTGCTCCTCCCCTGCGCTCTGTCCTCATTCCCCACACATCAGTGATTTGTGCCCTGTCCCTGGTGTTTCTGCACGGGGAAGGCCTTCTGCTGCATCTCCACCTGGAGAGATCCTATCCGCACTTCAGGGGACACCACAGGGTCCCCAGCCCTCCCGCACCCAGCAAAGCCTGGCCTTAGGTGCCCCAGGAGCACATGGCCTGTGACCCTACCCTGCGTGGGCCACACTGTGTGTGGCTGCTTCTGTAGGAACCTGTCCCCTCTACTAGACTTTGAGCTCCATCAATAAGGCAAATGCGTCTTTCATTCATCCAGGCATGGTTATGGAGGCCCTGGAAGCTCTGTTGGGCACCGGAGATAAAAACCAAATAGGACACCCCACTGGCCTTTGAGGCCCCTGCTGTTTAGTTGGGAGCCCCCCAGATGAACTGGCAATTGCAGCCCTGGGGTAAATGGCAGGACAAAGGAAGGCAGGGAGGGGTGGGGAGGGAAGGATAAAGAGAAGGCACCTCCTTTCAGAGGCGGCTCTACCTAAGTGGAGACCTGAAGGACAGATAGCACAGCCAGGCGACAGGGGATGGGGAGGGGCTGCTCTCTGGGCAAAAAAGATCAACGTATGCAAAGCCCAGAGCCAAGAAAATGCTTCTGGAGCTGCCAACGCTTTCATCCCAGGTGAACAGCCACTGAATGGGGACACAGGCTGATGCCAGAAAGGGTCTTATAGGCCCTGACCCTAGAGAATCTCTAGAAAGGAAGACGTTGAGGCATCTTAAGCCGAATGAAAGATCTGAGTTAAATAGAGAAAAAGCATCTGGAAGAATTAAATAGCATTTAGAGTGCTTATCACGTATCAGGCACCAAGCTGAGTGCTTGGGCCACATTATTTCACTTAATCCTCCACTCTATGAAATAGGAATTAACCCCACTTTATAGAGGGGAACACTGAGGCTTGGATCGTGTTAGCAGCGAAGTAGAGGATGGATTGGCAGGGAGGGACTGGGAGGACTCCCAGGCTAGGAGTCCCTCCCAGGGAGGGACTGATGGTGGGGAGCCCTGAGAGGTATGGACCAGGGGACCCAGGATGTAAGTAGCAGTGAACCTCAGGTGGCCACAAAGGCCCCCTTTGGCTGCAATGGGAACAGCGGGGGCAGGCCAGGAAGTGGGCCCTGATGATGTACGACTGTAGCCAGCCCGATGGGGGCCCACCCAACAGTCACGCGCCCCTTCCCCCTGGACAGAAGTGGCCAAGTGTATTCAGCATCCACCATCCTCCATGAAGTGGTAAGCTAAGAGGAGGCCAGCCCAGAGGATGATTCTTGATTGCCCTGATCCAATTATGATCATCTCATTCCTTTGGTTCAGGATTGGACATGTGACCAGTTTTGACCAATGAGATGTCAGAGCAGTCTGCTGGAGGGATTCTGGGAGAGATTTTCTGACCCTTAAAAGGCAGCCTGGGAAGCCACAACCTCTTCCTTCCTCCGGAAGTTGTCAAGTAAGGGTGCGACGCCCACCTGCAGCTGGGGCAGCCGTCTTCCACCAGCTGCAGGGTGAGGATCACAGCCGCGGGCAGAGTGGAGAGAATCACAGAGAAATGGATGCGCAGCCCTGGCATGCCACGCCTGGAGCTGTACAGTGGCTGCCGCTGAAATGATCCTAATACGTGATGAATTGATAGGTTCTACCCTCCCCTTGATCACCTAAATACAAAAAACTCTAAATTTCTTGGTTCGAAGGATGTCTAGGTGTGAGGGTGGAAAGGTGGGAAACGACATAAGAAACCAGCACAAATGGTTTCCTCTTCTGCCAGAAGTTGAGATAAAGTGGGCTGGAAAGACACAAGAATTTAAAGAATGAAAGTTTGAGGGGCCCAGCTTGTCAGAGCGCTAGATGAAAATGACAGTTCCTCAGCTGTGAGAGGAAAGGGCAGAAGGAGAGTACATGCAAAACCCAGTTCTCCTGAGTGGTACCAGAAGGATTGGACAGTTTCTTTTGGGCTCAGTATAGGCTTCAGAAGTCAGCCAGAAGAATGATGTAGAATGATCTAGATCCACCCTGGTAGCCACTAGTTACAGGTGGCTCCTGGACCTTCCAATATGGCCGTTCCAAACAGACATGCGCTGTCAACATGAAACATACCCCAGCTTTCAATGACTTGGCAAAAGAGTGAAAAATATGTCGTCAGTAGTTTTTATATTATTTACAAGTTAAAATGATAGTTTTTTAATCTATTGGGTTAAATAAAACATAGTATTAAAATGAATTCTGCCTGCTGCTTCCTTCTTTTTTAATACAGCTACTAGAAAATTTAAAATTACATTTGTGGCTTGCATCGGAGGGTGCTGAGCTACACTGTCAACCCCTACAAAGCCATCGAGTGGCACAGGGAGACTCCATCCCCAGAGGCCCAGGCCAGGAAGTTTGCGGGCACATCGGGACCATCTAATGTGCCCTGGAGAGTGGGAGAAAAGGAGTGAATTGGGCACGCTCCCTTCCCCAGTGGCCCTGCAGGCCAGCTGAGGTTTGAGAGGCTGGTGGCGGGGCAGGTGTGCGGAGAGGAAAGTGTCCCATTGACCAGCACCTGGGCTTTCCTCGGGTAGCAGCACGACAGACAGACAAAGGGCCAAGTGAGTCACAAGTACTGACAAAATAGTTTAAAATGGTAAGTGATGGGCTCGTGTGCCTTGGAAAAGAAGTAAAGATGGGGGTGAGAGTGGGGGCTGAAATTAGGAGAAATCTGAGGGTCACAGGACTGGAGTCTCAGTGAGATCAAAGGGAAGCTATATTTCTGCAACTCACTCGTTCATTTCCATCTCCCTGACCACCCATCTCAGACACAGGGAAGATGGGCACAGAGTTGCCCTGGCTGGCACAGGGCGTGGCTGTTGATCATGACTATGCTATACGTGAACAAGCGCCATTCTTTTTCTTTCTTTCTTTCTTTCTCTCTCTCTCTCTCTCTCTCTCTCTTTCTTTTTTGAGACAGAGTCTCACTCTGTTGCCTGGGCTAGAGTGCGTAGCGTCAGCCTAGCTCACAGCAACCTCAAACTCCTGGGCTCAACTCCTGCCTCAGCCTCCCGAGTAGCTGGGACTACAGGCATGCGCCACCATGCCCAGCTAAGTTTTTGTTTCTATTTTTAGTTGGCCAATTAATTTCTTTCTATTTTTAGAAGAAATGGGGTCTCACTCTTGCTCAGGCTGGTTTCGAACTCCTGACCTCGAGCAATCCACCTGCCTTGGCCTCCCAGAGTGCTAGGATTAAAGGCATGAGCCACCACACCCGGCCCATTCTTTTTTTTTTTTTCACAATGATTCCCATCAAGCCGCTCACTTCTGCACCACCTACCGATTTGTCCCGGGAGATCTTCTTGAAGATGACGTGGTTTGGCGCAGATTTGCTGGTCTTCCCGCTGGCCGCCATGTCACCTGTCCCTGGCAGCTTTTTCTGCCTTGGGCTCTACGTCAGGTGTTGGAGGGCTGGAAAGGCAAAACAATCCTAAATATTAAGTCAAGAACATCCTGGGTACAGCCACTGGACATTTCCTTCTACCTGCTTCAACATCCAGGTTTTATTAAAGAAAGTCTTTGCTTAGTTTGTATTTGACTGTGGGGTCCTTCTTTTTAAAGTCTCTTATTTTTCTTGGTAAGCCTCAAACATTTCACAGGGAACCCCACCAGGGAATCTAGCTAGATTCTAATGAGAAGGTTTTATTATCTGATGCACCTTTGGTGTTGTCTCACCTAGCCAGGTTGAATCTAAAGTTCTATCATGGCTGTGTGTTGTGGCAAATAAATACAAAACGTTCCTGAAAACCACAACGTGACCACTTCACAAATACGGTTTTCAAGAATATATTACAATCCCTCAAGTTCTATTCTGCGATTCACACCGAGCAGGGCTTGGAAAACCACACGGGAAAGGTGAAACAGGGGCAGACACTCTTTGTGGAAATGCCCATGGTTGCTTTATCCCGAACCTGCACTGCGCCGTGGTGGTCACATACCTTGTGATCTGTCACCAACCAGGTGGGATGGGCAGGGTGGCAAGGGGAGGGTCCCTAGGCCCCTGGATGAGGAGCAGCCGGCCCCTGGCCTAGGCACGCTGGCCCTGTCTCACCAGACCAGCCCTTGGAGGCTCGGACGACGGCCTCGGCTGACGTGTGTCAGGGACTTGCAGAGGATCTGGTGAGGAGACCCGGCACCCAGGTCTCAACGTCTAGGAGCCAAATCCCATTTAAGGAGCAGGTTGGATTAGCGCTGAGATGGTGAACTGGTGGCTTCAGCAGTTCTCAGCATTAAGCAAGGCCCCCAGTCTCCACACAGAGTCCCATGGCTGCATGAGTCACCCGGTGCCTGCAGGAGGCTGGTGGGAGGGACAAGAGCTAATCAAAGCTACTTTTCATCCTAAACCTCTTTGGGTTCTGGAAATAGACTGATTATCCCTTCACCTCCTGGCATCACCAGGTGACTTGATTAAACTTGATTAAACCCAGCAGGCCGCTAATGCGACCTTGGGTGTGGGGACACAAACAAAAGGTCAAGGAGAAATGTCAACCTCAGGATGAACTGGTGTTATGCAAGCCGTCCAGATACCTCCCTCTCCTCCAGCCCAGGTCCGGCTGATCGCATCAGTCCTGTCTATGGGCTTCTCCACCCCATCCACACCGTCGCCTGTGCTTCCCTGGACCACAGCGACTGTCCAACTACAACCCTCCCACCCTCCAGGCCCTTCTTGGCACCTGGGCAGAAAGAGCTTCTGAGCCCTGACCTGTCACCCCTGCCGACACTTGCCCACTGTTCCTAGGACATAGGCAGAAACCTGGGGCAGCTCCGCCTACGTCCCCGTCCACCTCCTGCTCCCGCCTTGCTATCCTTTTTGCCTGGAGCAAGCCTGTCCTCTCTCTACCTTGTTGACTCTTCTTGGCCCTTCAGAGTTTGACTGGGAGCCACTTCCTCAGGGGAGCCGTCCCCGGCCTTCAGGACCAGGCTGGAGGCGCAGTGGCACTTCACTCTTGCCTGGGAGAATATTCTAGTCCCTCTGCCCTTGCTTGACTCCAGGCCGCATGAGGGCAGGGCCCAAGCCATCGTGTGCCCCTCACTTTTGCCTTCACTGTACCTGGAGCGATACCTGCTCCCGAGAACATCCGGGGAATGAATGGACGGGACACTGTGGCCATCCTCACAAGGTGGACTTGACCTGGGAGCTAAGCAAGGAGACACAGAAAGCCTCCCCTGATGTCTGGGTGCTGGCAGCTATCAGAACACTCCAGAGCCTTCCGTCTAAGCTGGACAGCGCCCCCAGGTCCCGCATGAGCTGGCCCCGGACACTCCGACCGCATTTCCCACCTCTCTCCCTCGCCCTTCGCTCCTCCACCGGCCTCTCTGCTTTTCTCTAAACCTGCCCCAGGGCCTTTGCCCTTCTGTTTCCTCCCCCACAACACTCTCCCGCACGTGGCTGGGGCTCACTCCCTCAGCTGCCCTGAGTCTGCACTCCAGTGCCCTCCATCCTATGCCCTGTTGTCACCAACTCAACTCACCCAACACGTCTATCCTTCCTGCATCATTTTTGCAGTCACGATCACCATCTGAAACACGTGACAGTTTTCTTACCTTGTTACTGTCTGGTCTCTGCACGTCCCCCACCAACACCTACTGGAAGGTAAATTCCAGGGATGTAGACATTTTTCATTGTCTCATATGTATCCCATCTCCAGCGTTCTAGAACATGGTCCTTGATCTACGTACTTTGAGCAAATCAAGTCATTGGATTCCAACAGTGTCATAGCTGGTGATTATTCCTCTATTTTACCTAAAATTGGTAAAACTTTTTTATTTCCAAGGGAAAATAAAACAGAGGAATGCCAGCTAGTACATGTGAAAGGAATGATGAAATTAGAAAAACATCATTTGACAAACTCTGATTGTCTTAATCGTGCCTTTTTATGTTTTGCATTTCTGATGGTCTGGCATCTGGGGCCCTGTTGGCCCTGGAGAGACTGCCCACCCAGGCTGGCCAGTTCCTAAAGACAGTGAGCCACTGGCCTTATGCCAACTAACCCCACCAGAGCCCACGCCCCCACCCTCCTTCGCTAGGCTCTCCCCCCCACCCCCCTACCCCAGGCCCCTCTCATCGTGACCTAACCCCCTCAGGGACAGGTATCCAACAACCAGATGCCCCCGACACTCCAGCCAGCTCGAATTGCTCAAAGCAGCAACCCCCAGCCTGCTTCCCTTGCCTGGCCTGTTCCTTCCCACAGAAACCACAGAAAGACTCTCACCGACATTCCCCTCCCTCCTCCTCCTCCCTCCTGGTGAACCCCAGCGCTTCACCATGGGCTATGTGGCATGGCCTGTCTCTCCTTATGTGAACGGAACAAACTACATGGCAGCCATCGTCTCCTGGTCTGTTGGCCTCGGCTTATCTGAATGGTAGTAAAAGCTATATTTTAAAACACAAGGATTATTCATTGGTATTAAAGCTATTAGGGGAAGAGTCATGGGGAAACAGCTGTCCCTATGGCAGCATGAAAGTGCTGCCACATGGATCCTGGTCTGAGCGTCATCAGTGGTGTCAGCCACACGTGCTTTGTTCCTCCAGGCTAACGTGAATCCACGAGCCTTTAGACCTCACCTCTAGTTTATGGGAAATATGAGGAATAGTTAAATGACCCCAGAGAGCTGCGAGACCAATCAGTAAGTCAATGCCACAGAAAAGGGATGTACCAGATTAAAAGACACCAAGGGATTCAACATCCAGGTGTAATGTGTGGCCCCGGATTGGATACTTAACTGGACAAACAGGATGTACAGAACATTTTGGGTACATTGGGAAAAACTGAATATGGTTCAGATGAAATTATTGGAATAGGAAGGTAGAGATTGTGACTGGACAAAGAAGGTTGTAGAATGCCATGTGCCATATGATCACATTTTGTAAACACACACTGTGTATATGTATATACAGACACACATATATGTATACTTATACACATGCATATATGCTTATGCATATTTACATATACATGCATACACATGCATGTTCACATACCTAAGCAAACATTCATCAATATCTGTGTCACGGAAATGTCAGGGTATCTAATTTTTCCCGTGACAATACAAAGATAAAAGAAAGAAAAGTGACGAAGGCTCTTCTCAGTTCCCATCAGGGGCTGCCTGAGCTGTGGCTGCATGGCCCGGTCCGCTCCTGGAATCCCTGTTCTCCTGCTGCCTTGCGGGCGCCAGGCCACGAAGGGCCCAGACTGGCAGAGCTAAGTGACTGGCCTGCCAGTGCCTTGCAGGTGAGGAAATTTGGGGGTGAACTGCATGGTAGATCTCACCTTTTTTTGGAAATACCATTCTTAACCCTTGGGCTGTGGCGATTTTTTTTCTCTTCTTGGTGGAGAAATGAGAAAAATAAGGACAGTGTTGTGAATTTTTTCTAAGACTCAAATGTATTCAATATAAAGGACTGCCCTTTTAAGATTAGGAAATTCTCAATTTTTTGGTATTGAAATGTCCTTCTTCTTCCCATTTTTATTGAGAAAAACTTTACATCCAACAAAATCTACCCATTTTGAGTGTACAGATTGATGACTTTTTTGGTGATTGTATATGCTTATGTAACGACCACTGTGATCAAGCCATAGAACATTCCACAAGTTTCCTGGCACCCATTTCTGTCAACTGCTCCACCAACTCTCTAGTCCAAGGCAACCACAGATCTGCCTTCTGTCATTAGTTTCGCATTTTTAGAATTTTATTATGACATTTTATTTTATTTTATTTTTTGAGACAGAGTCTCACTTTGTTGCCCAGGCTAGAGTGAGTGAGTACTATGGCATCAGCCTAGCTCACAGCAACCTCAATTTCCTGGGCTCAAGCAATCCTACTGCCTCAGCCTCCCAAGTAGCTGGGACTACAGGCATGCGCCACCATGCCCGGCTAATTTTTTCTATATGTATTAGTTGGCCAATTAATTTCTTTCTATTTTTAGTAGAGATGGGGTCTCGCTCTTGCTCAGGCTGGTTTCGAACTGCTGACCTTGAGCAATCCGCCAGTCTCGGCCTCCTAGAGTGCTAGGATTACAGGCGTGAGCCACTGCGCCGGGCCTTATTATGACATTTTAGAACACAGAAAAGTTGGAATAATACAACATCCTCACAGTCGACACCAAGATTTGACAATGAACATTTTGCTGCATGCATGCATCTGTGTCTCTATTTCCTCTTTAACCATTTGAAAGCAAAATGCAGACATCATGACACTTCACCCACATATATTTCAGAATGCAGCTCCTAAGCATAAGAACATAAATGTCCTTTCTTTTAATAAAATAGTGAGTGCTTAGTTGTTTAGAAAAAAGGCCTTACTTGGTAAATATAAAAAGTTGGTAACCTTCCCCTGCATGTCTTTTCAAAATGTACTGGTCTATGAATTGCCGAGGTCCGGGATCCACTGACTATAGCAATACCTGTTTCTCTGGAGTTGGCCTCCAGTGAGATAAAGTGACAGGCCCTGTGTTTCATCTTCAAACACTAAACACAGCTTGCGGGGTGGGGGCGTGGTGGGGATGTTTGCTAAGAGGCTTATGGGCTTTGGGGTTAGGTTGTCATCTTAAGGGTTTATTAGGGCACATACACAAGGAAAATGGGCATACTCTGCTAAACATCAGTTACTAAAGGAAAACCTTGTGTCCTCTGCCTTCCTGAAGCAGAGAACACCTGGGAAGTTTGGGGCAATTGTTATTTATGAAGACTGCCAGGGAATCAGGGGTTTTAAAAGCTACTTTAATTTCAACATGTATCTCTTAGTCAATCGATGTAAAGAATAGAGGCACTGTTTTCGGTTGGGCTGGCTAGCAGTATCTGAAATCATAAATGCAATCCTGTGGGCTGTCAAGACATCAAGAGACTTTTAAAATATCACTTCATCCACATTCCATCCCTTACTTGAATATCCTCTGTAACATCCCCAACAAGTTGTTGAGTGCTCTTAAGGATGCGGAAATCACTACCTTGTTGTATATCCACTTTTCTTTGAAACAGCATGAAGTATTTAGGCTGGAATTGGCTTCTCTTCTACTTCTCCCCATTGCTCCAGGTTAATCTCTTTCCCATGTGAATCCTTCCATGATTAGCAGAAGGTGCCCATTCCCCATGAGCATGGAAACCCTCTCACCACCCTTGGGGGTCTGACCCCTGGATAGATTTCAAATGTCTGCCTGGAGGCATCATGCTGAGACTAGTGCTCAGCGCTCTAGGTTTTTGTGCAATGGGAGCATTTTGTACAAATAGCCCTAGACTGGAGTCCTGGGTTCTGTGGCCCACTGATGAATCCACTGCAACCTTGAGAAAGTAGCTTGGCCTATTTCCTTTCTCCATCTGTATGAGGGGACCCTGAAGCCTGTCCTGTCTTGCAGGTTGGGAAGATTCACAGAATGTGCAGATGAGTCCTTTAGGAAGGTGAAGTCTTGTACAGGGTGGAGGCAGAAGGATTCTGATCAAGATTTTCTCTTGCCCTCCCCCAGAGGCCAGGCTGGCTGTCATGGGCGCTTCTTTAACCCCCAGTCATGCCACCTGGGCTTAAGGGGGTTTTGATGATGATGAGGCTGCTTCAACAGAAGAATCTGGAGCCAACCACAAACCAAGGGTCCTTACCCTGGGATCCACAGATGGGCTTCAGGCGCTGTGAACCTCCTGAAGTTGCGTGCAAAATTATGTAGACACACCTTTACCTGGGCAGAGGCCTATACTTTTCTTCAGATAGATCCGCTGCTATAGATCAAAAAAGTTTGAAGAGCACTGGCACCCTTTTTTTTTTGGAATTAAGAGGTGGTGGTTGCACAATATTATGAAGCTACTAAATGCCACTGAATTGTTTACTTTAAAATGGTCATGTTACATGACTCTCAACTCAATAACTTTAAAAATAAAAAATATACTTTCAACACAACCCAATACATACACATCTATATAAACTGAAATTTCTACGAAATGACATTTACCCTTGTTGTTCTTACATTTTTAAATGACTTCCTCGCTCTCCTCCTTTCAGCTGGGTATGGTTCGGAGCCATCTGGAGGCTGTTGGGTTTGTTTTCCACTGATCCAGTTCTACTAGTAAACACCCACTCTGTGCCAAGCACTGTGTCGGGTATTAAGAATACGGTGGCTCCTGAGATCTCCTGACTTACTCTGGGAACCATCTGGGTGCGTACTCTTGGGGGCAACAGGACTGACAACTGATAACTAGAAATCTGACTGTTAGAGTTTGTCCTCCTACTGCCAGGCTCACAAGCATACCTACCTCTCCCTTCCTCACTAGTTCCCTGAAAAAATAAAGCCCAAGACCCGAATTCACCTGCTCTCTTCTCCCTGAGTACTGGTGCCAAAGCAAGTCCACAAAAGCCTGGCACTGAGCAATGAGTTGGGCCATTTCCCACTTTAGACATAAATGTATGCTCATCGAGGAAAGTCAACCGAATCCAGTGTGGGACATTAAATAAACGTTGGCAAGAGAAACTGTTCTAGAATAAATAGACTCAGGTGATGGGAGAACAGAATGTAGACCCTACTGGGGCCGCACCAAGACGGCCCTCCGCCAGCACCCCTCACTGCAGTCACACCCTTGGGGAGCACCCCACACTATAGAAGGCTGCCTATGCCACCCACTTGTTTGACATTATTATTTTTTTTTTAGACAGAATCTCACTCTGTTGCCCAGGCTACAGTGCCATTGCGTCAGCCTAGCTCACAGCAACCTCAAACTCCTGGGCTCAAGCAATCCTTCTGTCTCAGCCTCCTGAGTAGCTGGGACTACAGGCACGCCACCATGCCCGGCTAATTTTTTCTATATATTTTTAGTTGGCTAATTAATTTCTTTCTATTTATAGTAGAGACGGGGTCTCGTTCTTGCTCAGGCTGGTTTTGAACTCCTGACCTCGAGCGATCCTCCCGCCTCTGCCTCCCAGAGTGCTAGGATTACAGGCGTGAGCCACTGTGCCCAGCCAGACAATAGCATGTTAAGGTGAGCCAAGCAGTGATGAGGGCTTACACACTGATGCTTGCTTTCTTGCTGTGCCACCGTTCCCCAGCTGACTGTGTGTCAACAGCCAGGTATGAGAGGCCACCCTCCACCATTCATCCCCAACCCAACCAGGCCTGCTCACTCACAATCATAAGAAATGACAGGTGTTTTAAGCTATGAAATTTGAAGTATTATAGTTTGTTACACAGCCAAAGCTAACTGGATCCAGAGTCACACAAACCAATCATAAAAAACATCATTCCAACAGCCAAGACAATCTAGACTGGATAGTGGGCAATCCTAATAAGCTATGGTTATAATAATCCCAGTAGGTGTAATTATGGCCTGGTATCCTTATCAGTTTGGGATGCATACTGATTTATGGGTAAAATGGCATGCTGGGAGCTTGCTATAAAACACTCTTCGGAAAAAGCACCAAGCAGAATAGATAAGCAAGGCTGGCACGACTGAGTAGGCATACATCAGGGCTCAACTGAAGACAGCACTGGTACCTCCTTAGGTTGGTTCTGGGTCTATCCTGACTTGGACCTTTCACTGTGCTTGCCAATCCAGGGTGAGAACACGAGGGCAGCAGCCCAAGGGAAGATCCACTAAGGAATAGGGAGTATTGAGGGCCACAGCAATGGTCGGAGAAGGTAGAGAATGGGAGAAGCATCTACAAGGAATAAATATGTCAGGAAGGGTTCAGAGGCACAGATGGAAACCAGTTGAAATGTGTTCCTTGAGGTCACAGAGTGAGACTTTGCTGATATGAAGCAGCCAAGAATCACTTTGTGGACCAAAGTTCCACCTTTTACTAGCAGGTACCACCTACCCGTGCACTTTCATAGAATCTAGGCAGATAGAGTGTACCTCACTTTATCCAAGCATTCCAGTTTACACGAATGAGAAACTGGAATTTCTAGTGCGAGATTTATTAAGGTAGTACATAGGAGAAAAGACAACATAGAGGAGCAAGGCCAACTTGTTTTTGTCCTTAAAGAAGACGAATCCTTGGCCGGGTGTGGTAGTTCACGCCTGTTATCCTAGCACTCTGGGAGTCTGAGGCAGGAGGATTGCTTGAGCTCAGACCAACCTGAGCAAGAGCGAGACCCCATCTCTAATAAAAATAGAAAGAAATTAGCCAAACAACTAAAAATAGAAAAAATTAGCCAGGCATGGTGGTGGCACATGCCTGTAGTCCCAACTATTCAGGAGGCTGAGGCAAGAGGATCACTTGAGCCCAGGAGTTAAAGGTTGCTGTGAGCTAGGCTGCTACGGACTCTAGCCCAGGCAAGAGAGTGAGACTCTGTCTCAAAAAAAAAAAAAAGACGGCGAATCTGTGTCATGCCTCTCCCTTTGGGCCTGGTGTGGCAGTGCCAACCTGCAGTCAGGACTCTAGGATGAAGACAACTTCTTGCTTAGCTGTGAAACGTTCCCTCATTTGTGAAATGGGACACAATTCGCATCATTTTAGAATTTGAGAGCCACAGACTCCTTATTTTCTTACTATCCAATACATTATAAAACAAAAAATGTTTGTGGTTTCTGTACCAAAGCAATCAGCCTTGGTACAAGCTAGCCCATCACTGCCACTCTCCATCCTGGTACCTCTACATGGGGTTGTTAGTGGAAAGTCCACATTTCAAAATGTCTTATTGACTGGACCTGCCAGGAGCCAGGGCTAGTCACTTACAGCTGACAGTAGCTGTGTCTGTTTACCCCAGCATTCACATAAAATTGTCCTATGCCGTAATGTGAAAGACACAGGAGGGGCTACAACATATATGATGGAAGGTAGTATACAAACAATATGTACTTATAAGGCTTGGAACTTCATTCATCACACTATATTAGAAAATGGCCTAGGCAAAACATATCATTTTTTTAAAAGCCTCAAATCCTGAGATATGTTAATGTCTGGATCAAAGCAGATCTCGTAACAGATGACATTTACAATCAAGGAGTATCAGCTCTGAACACCTGGGAGGCAATCAGTTCTCGACGCTGGCTGCACATGGGAATTACCTGAGAAATTAAAAGCCCGTGCATGGCTCCCGTCTTGACCAATGAAACCAGAACTAGGGCTGGGCGCGGTGGCTCACGCCTGTAATCCTAGCACTCTGGGAGGCCAAGGCAGGCGGAATGCTCGAGGCCAGGAGTTCGAAACCAGCCTGAGCAAGAGCGAGACCCCATCTCTACTATAAATAGAAAGAAATTAATTGGCCAACTAATACATATAGAAAAAAAAATTAGCCAGGCATGGTGGCACATGCCTGTAGTCCCAGCTACTTGGGAGGCTGAGGCAGCAGGATTGCTTGAGCCCAGGAGTTTGAGGTTGCTGAGTTAGGCTGACGCCACGGCACTCACTCTAGCCTGGGCAACAAAGCGAGACTGTCTCAAAACAAAACAACTGGGAAGGCCCCTGTTGATGCACATTCCCCAGTGCTGAGACCCCTCCCCTTTAGCTCAGCCTTGACAGTTAAAGGACAGAGAGTTTTTAGTGTGGGATGAAATTCAGGCTGAGAAACACAGAGAACAGCAGTGCTTCCCTCCAAGTTCAAAAACAGGATAATCTGAGGCTATTGCAACACTTATTTGGGGCCTATTTTGAGAATCATCACCTCCTTGGAAGTGATTGTAAAGGGTTCATTCAGCTTTTTTGCAAATGTTGGCTGGCTCAGACTCCAGATCATAATGGAACCGTGACTCAAGCTGCTGGGCTAAGTGGACGTCCGGCAGAGACCCTCATGGTGGTCATTTGTTGTGGCTCAGGCTGCTTGTTAGGTATCTGAGCTGCCACAAATAAACCACTCCTTAATGAAGAAAATTCACACCTCTTTAGCAAAGAGGAAGTCTGAGGTCAAAAGGAGACCCATATAATTCATATAAATCCTATGGAGAAGGGCTCAGTGCAGAAAACTGTAGAATGCGTGTGTCGGGCTCTTCTACAGATGGCAAAGTTCTGAAGAAACACTTTTTCTGGTTACGATGTGCACATGTGAAACTGGAATATTGATGTTTATATGGAGCGATAATTCATGGAATGGAGTTTTACATTATGAGCAATGAGGAAAGACCTCAGAAAAGCACTATCCATTACTTACAAAATGAATAAATAACAAGAGAACAAAAGAATAACTTTCTTTCCCCTTTCTTTGTTAAGGGCAAAGAAGAATAAAATAACAACCAAGAGACATGGAATTTGAAAAGTATATAACAGATTTTTTATTTACAATCAAGTTCTGTTGGGCAACATAAATAAATAAAAGATGTGCCCTGTGAATTTCAACTCTCCTTAGCACAGGTTCTCTGAAGAGCAAACCGTAAAGGGCAGATGCAGGCAGGGAAAAGAGGAGAATGAGGCCCTGTCGGCAGGAAGGCCCCCTCGCTCCTCTCACTGGCTCTAGCACTCACATCCCCAAGGGCCCAGAGAACAAGTGTGGAAGAAACAAAAGTAAAGTGCAAATTAAAAAGTGATAAAAACACCGGTGTTTCAGACACCCAAAGAACTAAAATTTTATAACAGGTAAAATGGTAAAGATAAATGTTCTCCCCCCGGCTTTCATCGCGACCCCTGAAATGGGAGGTGCCGCTGCTGTGCTTCTGGGGCTGGGCTTCTTGCACTAAAGCACTGAGGGTGCTGCACACAGGCTGGGCAGGGGCAGGGGCTGGAATCACCGGCTCCAGAGTAATATGTTCAAGGCCCCAAATCCCTTGTCACTTGCAAGACTGTGTCACACACCCCACCTTCTGGGTGTTTGCAGCAAACCCACTTCTCTGGAAAAGGTTTTCATACTTCCTCTCCTCTCAAACACTTTTTTTTTTAAAAAGCCAAGTTGAGATTTATTTCTTGACCAAGAAATAAATATGTAGAATTTGGGGGGGGGGGGGCAAGGGAACCAGAAGATCTGGAGAACAGTTGAAGAGACGTAGGGCAATTTCAGCAGTAATAAGACGCGTTGAGAACAAGAGCCCTGTAATAACATTGCAGCCTACCAGCAACAAGGAGACCATGGGCCCCTTAGAATTAGGACGGGCCCCACATTTGAGTCTCTGTTAATCCAATGCTTAAAGCAGTTCATTGGGCAAACGGCCCCAAGGTGACAGGACATGCACTAAGCCAGAAACAACTTTGGAAGGACGGGAGAAAGCACAGGGAACCAACACCCAGACGTGGGGTGTTTTTGGCACTGCCATCCAGTCAGGAGACCCACAGGCCCTGTGCTCCCCAATGAGGTATGGAAGGTCAGAGCTAGTAGTGTTTCCCACATGAACCAAGGTAAGAGCCTAAACCTCTGCTCAGTGACTGCAGTGTCAGTTTTTCAGTGTTATTCTTCCAGGCCAGTAGAGACCATAGTCAAATCCTCAGAAATCCTGTTCAAAGGAAGGCCACTGAGCCACATGGCTTGAGCTCTTCTCTGGGAGGTCAAAGCTATTCCCGGCACACTGCCTGCCAGGACAGAGCTGTGGGAGTCCATTTGCTTCTCCGGAGGAGGGTGCTGAGGTCCCCCCAGCCCTGAGAGCCCCGTCAATACTGCGCCCACAGCACAGCTTTGGATCCTTTGTCCACACTGACAACGTGCAAGCCGGAGGGGGACCACGCCACTGCATTGATAGATGAGCTTCAAAGGAGAGATCAGAAGAGCATCAAGGTTCAGAACATTTGCGTTGAGTCTTAGGAAACCAAACACCAGACTCACATGCATTCTGCAAGTCAGGAGTTTTCCAATTTCCATTTTACTCTCCAGCACTGCACCCACATACAGGCAGGGACACACTGAGAAAACCTGCACCGTGTTCTATTAAGTTCTGTCGGGATAAAGGGAATTTGGCTCCTTTAGCAGCCAAGCCTTACCATGCTCACCGTGAGGGAGGAGCTGTGAGTGAGTCAGGAAGGGGGAGACATCACGTATGGCTCTGAAAAGCTGGGAGGACTTGGACTGGTCAGGACCAGGAGCAGTCACTGCTGCCCGAGGGCAGAGAGAGGGTTCTGGAGGAAACTGGTGTTTGTGTTCCAATTAGCAGGTGGGCTTGTGTGGACAGAACAAAGCTAGGAAAAAAGTGAGCCTGGGGGCTGCCTATCATGTGGAAGATTAAAAAGGTATATGAAAACCAGTGTTTAGGACAAGTCAATTTACTGACAAAAGGGACTTACAAGGGAGAGAGGGAGAGAGATAAGAGAGTGGGGCAGGGTAAGGAGGAAGAGAGGACGTGGCACATAACAGAGAGACTGGGATGTGTCTCTAACACCTTCTCCAATGGCCGCCATATGAACCACTTGACCTGGAGTATTTTGTGAGAACTGTGGTCTGCGGCGCTCTGCGACCCACCCCCGCTTCCTTCCACTAACCCACTTAGCCAGCGGAGCAGACGCTGCCCTCATGAGGCTGACTAAGGTGTGAACCCCATGAGGACGTGATGGCCCTGCCCACACCTTAGAGGGCTGATTGGGTTCATCTTACCTGTGCTGCTTCGAAAGAACCTTCTCCACTTTCCCGGTGAGCACACTCCAAACATAGAGAGCACCCTCAGCTGAGCCTGCTGCCACGTAACTGCCATCAGGGCTAGAGGAGGCAGTAAAGAGAAGGCTGTCTGTCAAGTCCACACCTGCAATTTGGCATTCTTGTGGCCCTCCTGCCAAGGAGGAATGTTTATTCTTCACTTATGACCACTCCTCTGCGTACCCAGATGTCAGAGTGTGTGCTGTTTGCGTCCCTTATGGGCAAATCTGCTTCCTGTTATTCCGGCCTCATCCAGCTGAGGAAGAGTGGCACATTACTTCCTGGGGCTCCAGTCCCTAACCAATTTCCAGACTCAAGCAAACACACAGGGGATCAATGCCAATCTCCAAACAGCTCAGGGTTTCAGCTGATAGCCCGTCCTATTACATGGTTCAGAGAAAGTAGGAAAGCAGAGAGGACAGAGGAGAACTGTGGAGAAGCTTCTCCACAACACAGGAACTGAGCCGGGAATGACAGCGGGGAGCAGCACAATACGTGGAAGAAGGGGAATGAGGAGAAGGGAACTGCAGACCACCCCAGAGTGCCCTTCTCCAAAGAGTCTATCCAGTCCTGTCCCTGGGCTCACAAGCCTTTCTAGCTCTTTCCTAAAAGCTCTCTAATAGCTCTTATGTAACAGGGTGAAGAGAAGAGAACCTGTAGAGCTCACTAAGAAAAAAGCAACTAGCAAGCCATTATTTTTGGTATAACACACTTAGGTTCACATAATCACACTAGAAAGGGAGAGACGACAATGGTGATCTCTAATAACACAATCACAGGCTCAATCTTGGACACTCATGTTGAGACACTGGACATATTTAGCTCCATGTCCCAACGTGCATTTAGATGAACCAAGTGGCAGAGTAAGGGGCATCACTACTAACCTGAAGACAACCCTGGTCCAATCAGAGCCGCACTTGAACCCAGGTGCACTGAAACAGACAACAAACAGGGCACCGTTACCAGAGAGCTCAGGCCACACAGCATGTGCAAGAGCAGGGCCGGGCTTCTGGGCTTCCTGCAACCCTCAGGAAACCAGCACGTCTTCAGTTACCTGAATGTCTGCTTGACGGCATTTGTTCTAAGATCAATAACTTTTAGCAGGTCATCACGGGAGCAGGTGAGGAGCTCAGTCCTTTCTGGGTTTAAGTCCAGGGCAGTAATCTTTCCCAATAGCTCCATCTCTCGGACTATACTCTCTGACCTAAGAGAGAGATGGAAAATCTGAGAAAATGTAACATGGAAAGGTCAGAACTCCTCCATTTAACGAGGATGGCACATCATTGGACTGCAATTCAAATGGAATGCAACACTCTTTAAGGGCAGTAAATATTATTGCTGCCCTTAAAGGGGAGCAATCTATTATTTTTGTACCAGTAGACCCTATGACAGTGGTTTTCAGTACTAGAACTCTTAATCTGGTAAGAATTTCCTTGCCCATTTTCAGATTGACAATCAGAGCTTCTGCTCAGCAAGAGTTTAACTAGGGCTACAATCTAATAAGTATTATTTCAATGTTATAATTCCAACTTTTGGATAAAGTTGGCACAGAAGCCTATTTTAGTGGGCTTGGCTGCCTTGCATGGACACCTGTGTGCTCTCTGGCAGGTTTCCTGCTACACTCAGTTCAGGTCTGGGGCCCTCCAACCCCAGCTTGGCCATTCTAGATGTGGAACTGGGGAGGCCAGGACAGAGTTACCACCCTACACACCTCCTTCTCCCAATTCTTTTCTGTACCCCAGCCCCACGCCCAGGTCAGCTAACAGCCAACCTGGCCAGGCCCCTTTGGTGACATTCACAGCCAAAGGAGGTGCCAACCCCTCCATAGTAAGCTTTCAATTAATTTTTTTTTTTTTTTTTACCTCACACACGCCTTAACTAAGCAAGAGTTTATCTGATTGCTGCTAAACACCAGGTTGAGGCAAGCTGCTCTACCTCCTGGGGACCCAGGGTCACTTGTCAAATTAGAGAATGGACTAGGAGACATCTATCACCCAGTTTAACTCTAAAATTCCAGTTTTAAGTTCCAATTTCAGGTTTTAAAAACTAACCAAAGGTTATTAATAAAACGTGAAGCGGTGTCCAGAAGCTACAAGCACCATGGTAGGGCTTTCTGGAGCCATGCCACGTTCTCAAGCACCAAGTGTAGCCATGGGTCCTTCACTCCCTCTGTCTACCACCCTGCTGGGCAACTGGGCTTCTGGCCCAACAGCATCTATTCAATCAGATCGCCAACTAACCCCACCCACTTCTGTAGCAGTCAGCCCCGGGATCTCTCCTGCCACTGACAGCTCTGCTCTCCCCTCCGCAGCCCTTTCCTGACCATCATGAAGACTCCCCCCAAACTTCCACCCAGCTTCCTTTCGCTTTCTGGCCACACCTACTCAGGCAGCTCCCTAATCACTGTCCTTGCCTTATGTGACTACTCTGTGTAATCCTTCTGTCTTCAAAGTCCTCCTGTTCACTGAGGACTTTTGAATTTTCCTCCACCTCCAACCTCTTAAAACTTTTATTTTCTCAAATAGCTATTAGAAACCACAAACTAATGTCCATGTCAAAAATACTCAACACACCCTTATTTAATCTCCCTCATTTAATCTCCACCTTGCTCTATACTTCCCATCCTCACCCTCTGCTTCCAACCTGTCAACAAGCCCTGTCCAAATTTGTCCTCAAATAGACTTCTTCCACATCTCCCTTTACTGCCTGAATTCAGGTCCCCATCAACTTTTTTTTTTTTTTTTGAGACAGAGTCTCACTCTGTTGCCCAGGCTAGAGTGAGTGCCGTGGCGTCAGCCTGGCTCACAGCAACCTCAATCTCCGGGGCTCAGCGATCCTACTGCCTCAGCCTCCCGAGTAGCTGGGACTACAGGCATGCACCACCATGCCCGGCTAATTTTTTTAGTTGGTCAATTAATTTATTTCTATTTTTTGGTAGAGATGGGGTCTCGCTCAGGCTGGTTTCGAACTCCTGACCTTGAGCAATCCACCTGCCTCAGCCTCCCAAAGTGCTAGGATTATAGGCGTGAGAACCACGCCCGGCCCCCATCAACTCTTTATTCATCTCCTTGCTCACCAATATGCCCTCTCAAAGTGTCACCAAACAATCTACTAGACTCTTGCAAAGTAATTATTTCCCTAAAACCCTGATGGCTTACAGGATCGAGCATTTGGCAATGGCTTGCCAACCCCATGGTGACCTGATATCAACCCAGCCCACCCCCTTTCTTGCCCCCTTGCAGTGTGTCAGTCACACCAGGCTGCTCTGCTCTTTTGGGGGGGAATGTCTCTGAGTGGCTACTCACCTCTCCAGACACATCTGGAGAGGCATTCTTTCACATACTTGGACAAGATCCCTGTGTCTCCTTCAGCACACTGTTCATTGACTTTTATGTCTGTCTTCTCTATTACATTTTATAATAAATTACTGAAAGGTAGGAAGAGCACCTTGCTTGCTTTTGCTTATGTGGCGGTTACTAAAGTACCCAGTACACCGTGCATGTTCAATAAATGATTGCTGAATTTCACAGGCTACTTCATGATAAAGCATATCAAAGTGTTACTAAGATAAAGGTGTACAGGAGCTCATTTCTGCCATTTCCTGATATTTTAAAACAGAATTTTTTATCTGCCTCCCCCACAAGGTTTTGGGTATCATACCGAATGTCCCAGAAACGAATTTTCTTGTCAAAGTGGCCACTCATTACACACTGCTCTGTGCAGACAATATCATTGCAACTGGACCCTGCAAACACTGTCTTTATGCCTGAAAGAAAAGCAAACATCATTAATCAAGCAGAGGCACCTACATGGCTATGTACACAACACTGCTACACTCTAACCACTGAGTCACCATGATTACTCATTTAAATAAGGCCTTAAACAGGAAAAACTGTCACTATCTCAGCACCCTCTAAATGTGAAACCAGATCTGAAATTCAAATTGTATCACACTAAATTCAGGCTCAGACATGGGAATAAACACCTCCATGCTAATGTCTAAGAATATACACAGAGAGACTGAATTTCCTCACAGACTTTGCTGCGTAGATCCCAGAGTTTGAGAGTCCGGTCGTGACTTCCTGAGACAATCCGTGCATTGTCCAGCAGGAACTTAGCAGAGAGTACTTTCCCACTGTGTCCCGTGAGTGTGTGCTAGGAGAGAGAACACAGCCCGGGTCAGCCTCGGGGAGCCACACGCTACCCACTCTGGCGGAGGATCCACAGCATCGAAACCCCCAGAGCCTGAGTCTCAAAACGCCCTGTCAGGAACACTGAACATGGTAAGAAAACAAAGGGAAAAGAAACACAGGGTACGAAGCACAATTTCATTCACTGAGTTTCAACCAAAGAGGCCACGTTTCATACAAAGCCTATCTTTGGTTGTTGTCCAAAGGTGAGATACTAAGACCAATTAAATCTTCCACTAAAAATAACAAAAACAAAAATTCAACATCAACAGTCCCAAATGTCATGTGCCGCCTCCTCAAAACAAAAGAGGGGCAGCTGGAGGACCCTTGTGAAATCAGCTCTACTACAGACACCTGCCTGTACAGTTTTACCCTATGCTGCCGAAAGTCAGTTTCATATTTCAAGTCTGATTAGACAGGGTCACTGCAGGCCTAATTTACAAAAGGAATCTTCAGGACTCTATATATAAATAATCAAGCCCCTGGAGGGTTTCTAATCAGAGGTCTCAGCTTGAAAAGGTCAGATCATAGCCACAGATACCCGCACTCCCAGGAAGCAAATCCCTTTGTGACTGGGCTGTTGGCTGCCAACCATGGAGTCCTCCCTGGGCTCACCAAGGAACACAGAACAGGGACATCACAGAGTGTCAGCTGCCCTTCTGCCCATCACAGCACTCCCGGGCCCTGACAGAAGAGAGGTGGCTGGGGACTGTTGGGATGCAGGGAGGGCATCTGGGAGTCAGACCTTTTACTATTCATCATTGACCTCTGTATAGTGCAGGATTAGTATATTAATGTGTATAAAACCCTACCAACTCAGGTATCCACTGTTTTCTAATTAAAAAATGCCTTTTAAAGATCCTAATATACTTAGTACAACTGCTAACTTACTTGGTTCCAATCCCACCTCCCAAAGATGAGCCCTCACAGTTCAGTATTAAATTTTTAGTGTTAAAATATTAGAGACCAATCTTTCCTCTCTTCTCAGTGGAACAACTCTGTTTCAGTACAAAACAGAAAGCTTAGGGCCACATATACTTCCCCTCTTCAATGGAAGAAGTTTGCATGGATTCTAAGACTCGTTTATCCCATATTTAAACCTCTCTGAAAATGGGGCAGCATCTTACAACTACTGTCAGCCAGGTGGCAGCTGTGCTATGGCTGTGTGAAAACCTCCCACTTATCCTTCTGGTAACATCAAGAAAGTTCCAGCAACAAACCTTACATTAAATACAGTACATGAGTATCAGTTCCACTCCTTACAAATTATCCAATGGCTGGGTGCAGTGGCTCACGCCTCTAATCCTAGCGCTCAAGGAGGGTGAGGCAGGAGGATTGCTTGCTCTCAGGAGTTGAAGACCAGCCTGAGTAACAGCGAGACCCTCATCTCTATTAAAAATAGAAAAATTAGCCAGGCATTGTGTGCCTGTAAGTCCCAGCTACTCTGGAGGCTGAGATAGGAGGATCGCTTGAGCCCAGGAGTTTGAGGTTGCTGTGAGCTAAGACGATATCATGGCATTCTACCGCAGGTGACAGAGCAAGACTCCACCTCAAAAAAATAAATAAGAAAAAAAAATATCCAATATGTACAAATTACAGGGAGAGACAAAATGTGGGTAGGGTACTTCTTATGTCTGTAAATTAAATTCTTAACAAATATCTTTAACAAAAACTCAAAAATTATATGTGATATGCAGTGTCTTAGTATAAGAGTAAAATAATATTTTTAAAACATACAGATAAAAGACACCGCTCATAAGCAGCCTATGCAAATATAAATGCTCCTCAACACATAACAGGGTCAAGCCCTGACAAAGCCAGACAACAAGGAAAAATCTTAAGGCACGGACTACCTGTACGCTCATTTTTACATACTCTACATGCACATGTTAATCTTTACACAATTATGCTCTTCCTAAAAATTTATCTGTTGCTCTTTTCACCTTATAACATAAGCACTTTTTCATGTGATAGCTGAAAACTCATGGAGTTTAGGGTCCCCACTGATTTGGCTTTGAACGCTGGGGTCTCTAACATCTGTGAACACGGAATACCCTCAAGCTGCTTCAGTACGGACTCAACAAGGTTGGGGCATCGATTCTCTTTCCCTTTTATACCCCCTTTCTTTAAAAGTCTTCACAGTGTGCTGTGATGAACATCTATGAGCATATAGCTTTCTTCTCTTATTTCTAGGAAGGAAACTGCTGAACTAATGGGAACAGAAGGGGTGTTTTTATTTCTTGGCTCTTTTTCTGCATTATTAGCTGCTGCCTATGAAGCTTAGACTTCTGCTCATCTTGTTTTTGGTGGAAATTCAGCTGGACCTGCCTGAGGCTGACTAGCCATCTCCGCACCGCCCCCAGTGAAACAAAGTTTGGCCTCCCAGGAACATTCATTCAGGTCTATCATTCACAAGTCCTTCTTGTAAGTGAATTTGATTTGATTTATTATTTATTACCTACCTACCTACCTATCTTGAGACAGTCCCACTTCTTTCTTTCTATCTATCTTGAGACAGAGTCTCACTTCTATCTATCTATCTATTTATCTTGAGACAGAGTCTCACTTTATCTATTTATCTTGAGACAGAGTCTCTTTTCTTTTCTTTTCTTTCTTTCTTTCTTTCTTTCTTTCTTTCTTTCTTTCTTTCTTTCTTTCTTTCTTTCTTTCTTTCTTTCTTTCTACCTATCTTGAGATGGAGTCTCACTTTGTTACCATCTATCTATCTATCTATCTATCTATCTATCTATCTATCTATCTATCTTGAGACTGAGTCTCACTTTGTTACCCAGGCTAGAGTGAGTATCGTGGCATCAACCTAGCTCACAGCAACCTCAGACTCAAGTGGGCTCAACCTCCTGGGCTCAAGTGATCTTCCTGCCTCAGCCTCCCAAGTAGCTGGGATTACAGGCACGTGCCACCATGCCCGGCTAATTATATATATATATATATATATATTAGTCAGCCAATTAATTTCTTTCTATTTATAGTAGAGACAGGGTCTCGCTCTTGCTCAGGCTGGTTTCGAACTCCCGACCTTGAGGGATTATGGGCGTGAGCCACCGCGCCTGGCCTAGTGGATCAGATTTAATTTAATGCTTTTTTTTTTTTTTTTTTTTGAGACAGAGTGTCGCTTTGTTGCCCAGGCTAGAGTGAGTGCCATGGCGTCAGCCTAGCTCACAGCAACCTCAAACTCCTGGGCTCAAGCGATCCTCCTGCCTCAGCCTCCCGGGTAGCTGGGACTACAGGCATGCGGCACCATGCCCGGCTAATTTTTTTGTATATATATTTCAGTTGGTCAATTAATTTATTTCTATTTTTGGTAGAGACGGGGTCTCGCTCAGGCTGGTTTCGAACTCCTGACCTTGAGCAATCCGCCCGCCTCGGCCTCCCAAAGTGCTAGGATTACAGGCGTGAGCCACCGCGCCCGGCCCAATTTAATGCTTTTATACATTAAGTGTTTAACACTACTTTTAGGTTTCATCTTCCACTTACAAACAAGGATTAACGAGAAATGGGCAGTGGGTTCAGATGTCACCCCAACCTGAGCACTAAAGTTGGGGGCAGCTGTTAAAGATTCCTTTGCTCTAATGGGCTGTGCACAGGCTCCCTCCGTGCCTCCTGGCAGATGCTGTGTGCTGACCACTATCATCAAACACAGAACTGCCCATTCAGATAACTCCTGAACCATACAGCTAACATTAACACCAACTAAACACTAGTGATCCCAGAAAAATGTAGAACTTGCTGAGAAAGTTTCTAAAATAAAAACCATCACCTAATAGCCAATCCTCACTGTGGCCACTTCTCCACACCATCGTCAGAAAAGTGAGCAGGATGGGTTTTATAAACCCAGTTCCTTAGGTCAAGTCTTACAGAACAGCCAGGCAGTTTTGCACTGACTAGATTTTTAAGGGAGGTACCGGAGGACTGCTTTCAATGCCAGGCTGTTTCTAGGATGCATTTACAAAAAAGATTTTAAAGTGCGGGCTCAATAGCTACTTCTTGCACGACAGTCTTTTCCAACACCATTCCCTTATCATGCAAGCTAAGGAGAGACTGACCAGGATGTGGGTCATGCCTGTGTTTCAGAATGTGGCGGGATGGTCCATTCCTGTCCTCCAATACTATGTGTTAACTAAGATCTAAGATGCCAGCACTGCCTACAACAGGGAGTCTATGAAGTGCCCAACATTATGCCATTCATCTTCTAGTCTAGCTCCTGGTCTGTAGGTCTCCTTGTTATTTCAGACCCAAAAGTTGACACCTACCTGTAAAGAACTCCTCTTTTACTAATGAAAAAATATCATCCTGCACAACCGGTTGACTCCTCAACAGCTTCCTTTTACCTCCAAGGGCCTGATAACTGGTCAGTTTTGCTGTATCTGAGTCTAGAATAACTACACCAGCTGAAGACAAGAAAGAGCACAGGCTTCAAGTCAAACTCTAATCTTGCTTATTAACTGTGTGTACCTCTTAGCCTACTTTGAGGAGCTTATTTGAGCCTCAGTTTCCTCATCTATCTACCTCACCTGGCTTCCCTAAGGATTAAAGGCAATAGCATATATAATATAGCTCAGCACTGGGCCTAACAGAGAAGTCACTCAAGGAAATTTCCTTTTCCTTTAAGCACATTAACTGTTACAGAAATATTCAAACCCCATCTTAAATGTCCAATAAAAGATTGCTGTTTAAATTATGGCACACCACAGGATGGACTACAATGCAGCCACTAGTACCAGCTAAGCCGTCTTTTCTACATGTATGGAAACGTGTATGTAGAGCTACAGGACTTCAAGTGAAAGCCTGTTCAAGCATCTGTACAGCTGTAATCTGTGGCAGGCTCCCAAGCAGTCCACCCTGGCCCTTCATTGACACAAGAACACAAGGCAGCCTTTCAGCTCGGAAAACTCTCATCTTTGTCATCTTCAGGGATCACACCTCACACGTTCAGACCTCAATCTTCTTTCAACTGAGAATGAAGAATTACTACCCTTGAAATACTGGCTAGCATCTAATTTGTTTCTACATATGTGATAGAGGGCTGATAAGAATCTACATAAAACTTAAGAAAATCAACAAGAAAAAATCAAACAACCCCATCAATAAATGAGCAAAGGACGTGAACAGAAACTTCTCAAAAGAAGACAGAATAATGGCGAGCAAATATATAAAAAAGTGCTCAACATCTCTAATCATTAGAGAAATGCAAATCAAAACCACAAATGAGATTATCACCTAACTCCAGTGAGAATGGCCTTTACCAAAAAGTCCTAACACAACAAATACTGGTGTGGATGTGGAGAGATTGGAACACTCTTACACTGCTGGTGGGACTGCAAATTAGTACAACTCTTGTGGAAAGTAATTTGGAGATACCTCAAAGAGCTAAAAATAGAATCCAGCAATCCCACTACTAGGCATCTACCCAAAGGAAAAAAAGACATTGTATAATAAAGACCTCTGCACTTGAGTGTTCATAGCAGCACAATTCACAATTGCAAAGATGTGGAAACAACCCAAGTGCCCATCAATATATAAGTGGATTAATAAAATGTGGTATGTGTATTCCATGGAATACTACTCAACTACAAAAAACAATGATGTCTTTCAAGGAAAATATTTCAAAAAAAAAAAGAAAAGAAATAAACAAAACAAACAAACAAAAAAAACAATGGTGAACTAGCACCTCATATAGTATCCTGAATAGAGAGTGAGCCTATCCTTTGAAATGATGTGTCACAAGGATGGAAAAACATGCACCACATGTACTCATCATCAAATTGGTACTAACTGATCAACACTAAGGTGCTCACATGGTAGTAATACTCATGGGGTGCCAGTCATGTGTCAGGGGAATCTCACAGCTAATAGTAGCAGAGCACACTGTAAATGCATTACATGTAACCAAATGTTTGTACACCCCATAATATCCTGAATTTTAAAAAATTAAAAAATCTTAAGAAAAAAATGGAAAGCTTAAGTGATAACTACGTGTTTCTAAAGATTCTTCTCATAGCATCCCGCATCATCTGATCAGACCACTAGACCATTCTACTATAGCTCCCCGCCTCCCTGTAGATTTAAGAGGTTCTTCCTTTTAATATTACACCTTCTGTTTTTTGTGTGGGTTGAGAAACTGTCAAACTTTTTGGTAAAATGTCTACCAATGCCATGTTCATCTTCCACTATGTCTTTCAATCGCTTTTATTTAATAAGCTTATTGGACAATTCTTTCGAGCTTAAGAAAAAAAAGCCTCCTGATCTTCACACGTTTACTGGGAACAGGACACAGTTAAGAGCTGGCCAAAGGTTCTCAAAGTCTACTAGTCTTGCAAAGGACCCAGTTAACTGCAAATTAAGCTATGTGCTTTTTTTTTTTTTTGTTAGAACAAAAGCAATACAATCACCAAGTTTTGGTCTTGTCTTGGATGCCAAGAAACTTCATGGCAAGTTTGGGTTCAAATGCCGATTTCCTCAACACTGGGTCTCATTCTCCCTTCCCTGACACTTGTCTCCCAGCTTGAGTTTTTGTTGCTTCAGAATAGTTTATGATAAGCACCTCCACATGTACTTCTGTGTCCTGCTTTCCAGCTCTACTCTGTGAGGTCATTATTAGGTCTTAGGGCCCATAAGAATCACAATTCACATGGTGGTGCTAAAATCTGTGACGTGAAGCTAAAATCAGTATCTACCAAAACTACCTAGTTCTTATGAACAGGAGTATTCCAAGTTGGTTCATGCAAATGTGAGGTGAGGGTGTTATTGCAAATATTTTGAAAATTTAATCCCAGACAAAGCAGGAGAGTAAAATAGAAACACATTTTCCCAAGAACCAAAGGAAAGGGCAAGGTGAATCAAGTATGATTTTCAGAAAAACAACACAAGTCCCCTAACTGATCACTTGTCATTTTTTCTATATTCCTGCCACACAAAGTTTAGAGATTGTACTAACTTTCTTTTTTGGGGACAGAGTCTCACTCTGTTTCCTGGACTAGAGTGCCATGGTGTCAGCCTAGCTTACAGCAACCTCAAACTCCTGGGCTCAAGCAATCCTCCTGCCTCAGCCTCCCGAGTAGCTGGGACTACAGGTACGCGCCACCATGCCCGGCTAATTTTTTCTATATATTTTTAGTTGGCCAATTAATTTCTTTCTATTTTTAGAAGAAATGGGGTCTCACTCTTGCTCAGGCTGGTTTCGAACTCCTGACCTTGAGTGATCCTCCCACCTCGGCCTCCCAGAGTGCTAGGATTATAGGCGTGAGCTACCGTTCCCGGCCTGTACTAACATTTTTAACTGGGCCTTACCCGTAATCGATAATCATCTACAGTCCAAATTCTGCTTGCAAAATCATTTGAAGCTGCTAAGAGGTAAGATCCCTGCAGGAATAAAGGAGAAAAAAAAACAAATTTTAGGCAAAATAGAGGAATTCAGTTCACACAATACAAATTCCCCACAAATCAAGTCCAAGGTTGAGATGCCTCAAATCATACCCCAATGTAAATATCAGGTATTGTCAGCAGTGTGCTGTCCCCCTTCTTAGAGTTGAGACCTTTCTCATGAGCTCACTTGATTTTCACCTGAATGTAGCAGACAATTCAAGCTCAAAATGCCTTTGCCAGCGGCAAATACTAATTCTCTACATACTGCCTGAGCCAGAAATATACCCCCGAGGTACCCCTGACTCTTTCCTTGCCTTACCTCCCAACTATCACTCTTAGACCTAATCATCTTCAGTGTGTCTAGCTAGTAGACCATCTTGTCTTCAACCCTCCTGCCTCAGCTGCAAGCTGGGCCTCTAACAGGACTGCAGAAGCACTGAATGCTTGGGTGACTGTGGATCTTCCCCCTCAATCAGTCATCAACACTGTCACAGTGATCCCAGAACTTAATGCTGTACCTGTTTACAAACCTCTCAAGGCTCCACACAGCTTTACAGAAGCTCAAACCTTACAACACAATATACATTCTGACCCGCATCTAACTTTTTTCCAACCTTATTTCCTCACCATTCCTCGATTAAATCCAATCACTCCCCAATTAAATTCAAGAAGCAGTTATTTCGAATGTAATAGTCCAGGCACTGTGCTGGGTGTTGGGGGTACAAAGATGACTAACACCCAGACATTCATGCTCAGGGAGTTAGTTCTCAGTTTAGCAGAAGTAGCATTATTGTATACAGCCACCATTCCAACAGGTTTGCACAAGATGCTCCAGGAAAACAGAAGGATCCTCAGCCCAACCAGGAATGTGAAAAAGGCTCCCCAGAGAAGACAATGAAAAGGACTCTTGAGCGATCATGAAGCTATCATCCTTGCCACTCCAGCTGTCACCTCCACCCCAGCTACTGCACCAGTCTGCCCAGGCTCTCCTCTTTGACTCCCCTGCCTGTGATGTCCACTCTTGCATTTCTGCACCCGACACTTGATGACCTTGAGGTCTGCCTTGAAGGTCCTATTGTGTTCCCTAACCCTGACCTCAGAACCAGCTACTCCCTCCCTCATCAGTGTTTCCATCCTACTCCACACACATCTCCACCATAACCTTAGTATAGTGATTTGCAGTTAAATGTTTTCACATCACTCTCACTTAAATGGCAAATCTCTGAGGGGAGGAACCAAACTGGCCCCTGGAGTATAGCATCTAAACACTCAAAATATGGCTATTAAGTAGAATTTTACAGAGCACTTAGTAACATCACAAAGCCTAATGCATAAACCAAAACCCAAGGTACCAATTAATTCTATACTCTACTCCCATCTCTCTCTAACATAGATTTGACTTAAGATACAGAGAACAGTAAAGAAACCAGGTAAGTTACTTTTCAATTTCTAAGAACCAGATGTCTTAAATTGTTCTCCAAAACCTCTAAAATCATAGATGTTAGATACTTACAGCACTATCAAACTCAATGCTTGTAATTCCTGCATTACTGCCAGATAAGGAACCCTTGAATTCACATTTGTCTGTATAAAATAAAAAATTGAGGAAAGTCACAAAGTTAAATAAAGCCAGTAAGTTAAAATGGGCCACTGAAACACAATGGAAGCCAATTACAGTGTTGAAACTGCAGCTTTCCTACACCTTTATAGAATTAAACAGCAAGACAGATGGAAGGTAAGTGACAAAATATACAGTTAATTTCTAACAACAATGAATGTTTAAGTGGACACCGGCCCATCATTTTGCTGAAGAGTTTTAGAATTATTAATGTCCTTTACACAGAGAAAGTGTAGGAATTTGTAAAACATGTCAAACTAGAGATTGAGTTTAGTTATTATTTCTCAGTAATTTTTCTAATTCACATAAACAAATCTTTGGACTTGACCAGTATTTGTGCCAACTTTATCACTGCTATAGAAACAGACTGCCAAGATTTCAGAATCCATGTTGTGATAATTTTTAATAAGGTTTGAGAAGAAACTTTCTCAGTCATGTTTAAGTGACTAGGCATTAGAATGCCAATAAAGCTAGTATGGTGTTTCTGAATTGTTCCTTAGGCTCCATGAACCTAAGATTCTGGCAAACCAACTAAGAGCCAGTGCCCCTCCCCTGCTACATGGCTACCCCTCACCAACAGGGACAACGCATTTTTCCTACTGCCGTGCTTTCAGACAGCTTGGCCACCCACAGAGACTTTAATAACACAATCACAAATTACACAGGACAAAATTCTCAACGATTTAAGTTCCTTATAAAAGGGTAGCTAAAGGACAATCTACGTAGACAGGCTAGGAATTAGGAAATCGTAACTAAATTCATAAAAGACAGAAATAGGAAACACTCTAACATATTTTTTTTAAGAGAGAGTCTTAACTCTGTTGCTCTGAGCAGAGTGCTGTGGCGTCAGCCTAGCTCACAGCAACCTCCAACTCCTGGGCTCAAGCGATCCTCTGCCTCAACCTCTCAAGTAGCTGGGACTACAGGTGCACGCCACAATGCCCAGCTAATTTTTGTATTTTTAGCAGAGACAGGGTCTCACTCTTCCTCATCAGGCTGGTCTTGAACTCCTGACCTCAAGTGATCCTCCCAACTCTTTTTCCCAGAGTGCTAGGATTACAGGTGTGAGCCATCTTGCCCAGCCAACATATAATATCTTTATCTTACTCAGTACTCCTAAACAGTAGCAATAATGATTAGGACTGGATACCAGGATGACAGCCTGGCTTGAAGCTGTCATATATATTCAGGGGATAGATTTTTAAGCTGGTTAATGAACCCCTCCCCAAAATTTATTCACAAAACATAGCATATTTAATGCCATTTCCTGGGTCCTAGCTTTCATCAGATTAGTATGTATTTGAGAAAAAGTTGAAAAAGGTTAATATACACTAATTAAAGTGTCACTTTCTTTAGATGAGATCTTTACAGACAAAAATATTACTGCAAATTCTAAGAAATCTCTCCATGGGTCATACTCAAAATATTGTTCTATTTGCTTGGCACCTAACACAGTGCCAAAATGGAAGCAATGACCCATAAATGCTGTTCTATTCAAGATATCTACCTCAAGGCCGGGCGTGGTGGCTCATACCTGTAATCCTAGCTCTCTGGGAGGCCGAGGCGGGCGGATCGTTTGAGTTCAGGAGTTCGAAACCAACCTGAGCAAGAGCGAGACCCCGTCTCTACTATAAATAGAAAGAAATTAATTGGCCAACTAATATACATACAAAAAGAAATTAGCCAGGCATGGTGGCACATGCCTGTAGTCCCAGCTACTCGGGAGGCTGAGGCAGAAGGATCGCTTGAGCCCAGGAGTTTGAGGTTGCTGTGAGCTAGGCTGATGCCACGGCACTCACTCTAGCCTGGGCAGCAAAGTGAGACTCTATCTCAAAAAAAAAAAAAAAAAAAAAAGATATTTACCTCAAAAGAACACTTTACTAAAGCTCTTTTATCTACAAGGTTCCAGGGTAGGCTATGTTAACAACATTTATAAAATTAATTCCCAATGGACTGTCTGCTTTTGAGAAAAGAATAGATGTTCCTACTGGATGGAAAGTACCATTCCTCTGATATTTTAAAAGGGTAAAAAACAGGACCCCCACACTATTTCATTAAAGGTCTCTTTGGATTTGGCCTTTTGCAAGATGCAGTAAATATTAGCCAAAAGGAAAAAGCCACACAGAATGAAAAAGCTATGAAAAAAGGCCCTACAAAAACTATGAGAAATGCTGCTGAACCTCCTACGTTACTTCTGTAGATTTGGGAGAAACTTTTACTAATACAAATTATACTCTGGCACAAATTATGTCAGTATTAACTTTGATTAATGCTTATTTCCTTTTCACTAGCAAAAAGATAACACTATTACTGGCACCTCTAATTTTCTTATAGGTGCATTTTTACTGACCAAGGAGTAAAACAAAAATATTTCAAATGTTGGCTGGGCTCAGTGGCCACATCTGTAATCCAAGCAACTTTGGGAGGCCAAGGCAGGAGAATTGCTTCCAGCCAGGAGTTTAAGACCAGCCTAAGCAACATAGTGAGACCCTGTCTCTACAAAAAGAAAGAAAAATTAGCTAGGCATGGTGACTTTTGTCTGTAGTTCCAGCTACTTGGGAGGCTAAGGCAAGAGGATTGCTTGAGCCCAGGAGACTGATGTTGCAATGAGCTATGATGATGTCATTGCCCTCCAGCCCGGGCAACAGAGTGAGACCTTATCGCAAAAAAATAAATTCTAGTGTTATTTCTATTTAGTTTCAATGACATAATCAAAGCAGACTATTTGCTTTGATTTTATAAACCAAAAACTTTTCTTATGGTTTGTTTTTAGTATTGTTTTATAATAGCTCTAGTAATTATCATTCCATAAGCTAACATGGTATTTCTGGGCAAAACAGCAAATCTTCATGGGCTTCAACTGGCTCTAACTGCCTGGGATTTAACTACTGAGTCCTTTTCCTGAAAATCAAAGGCCAGGACAGACAAGTAGGGTGCTTTACTAATAATCTATTCTAACCAAAGGGATTAATAGATTGTTCTTGCTGTAATGAACCTCACAAATAGTAACCTACATGATTTCTTAGTTGCTCTATTGCCTAGAGAAGGCTTCTGTGGGAAGAAGAGCATGGGATCTGAAGTCTTAAGACCAGGATGAATCCTACCCCGGCTCCACTCACCTGCCATGTGAATCACTGACTGACTAGCCATGTCCATCAACTATGTAATTCATGTAGCGTCCGAGTTTTATTTTCTTCATTTGTCAAACAGGGTGATAGTTACGTTTGTAACTGCATGGGGCTTTTGTGAGGATGAGAGGAAATGATAAAAACAAAGGCATTTTGCAGTTATTTAATAATGTGCTGCAAGTACGGAAACCTTAACAAGGTACCTTTAGACTTGTTCTTTGACCTTAGTTTAGTAAAAATATCTGCATGTTTACCTGAATCTCAAAAATGTCAGAACTGGGCTATGCCCAGCTACAGAATCCTAAGAGATGGTTTCATTAACTCTTTCTGTTTTAATGCCATCCCAATTTCTGAGCACCCTGAGTTCCAATCAAAGAGACTAAGTCCTAATCTAAGGGCTCTTGTAAGTTGATTGTTAAATAGATTTTTGTTTCCTGGTTATATACCTCTTTTCTTTTCTCAAAATTAGATATGACTTTGGTCTTTTTTTTTTTTTTCTAGGTTATTGCCACTGTCAGGATTAAATGCATCAACCACAGCTTGATGTGTAGTTTAATTATGGAGTTCATGATCTTAAGATTTATTTTCCTTCTAAAACTGGTATTGTTTTTCAGGATGCTTTTTAGAATATATTTGAGAGAAATTGCAGAACTCTTACTAACATATCCATATCTTAACAGTGTTTTCTAGTCACTATTTGGAAAACCAGAGCTAGCATCCACTCAGATATAAAAATTAACTGAAATAATAATACTTTGGTCAGATGATTCCTTACATAAAATGCTGTATATTTTAAGATGATGAACAAAGAGTGCCTGAAAGCAAGGTCAACCAGATGCTGCCAGCAGAGGTTCTTGCTGTACACTCCACTGGGCTCTTACCTCCAAACACTTCCCAAAGCTTAACCCTCCGGTCCATGCCTCCTGTGGCCAGTAACCGAGAACCTGGACTGAACTGCACAGCGTTGACTTCCCCATCATGTGCATCCTGCAAGACAAGCACCCTGTTTCAAACCCAATCGTTATCATCCCCAGAGCCTGAGGCAAACACACACTTCCAATGTCTGACAAGGAGAAAATGCTCCTCTCTTTAAACAGAGGTGGATTCACTCATAAACTAAACTGGACTCCTAGCTCAGGGTCTCCTAAGATTCTATTATCAATTTATTTGTACAGTTACAGTTGCACTTCTTTAAATACAGTGCAACCTTTTCAAAACTCTGTGTAGACTGTCTAAAGTTTGTTTATGCATTAATTTTACTTCTTCCAAGAATAATGACACATATCAATCTTAACAGCTTAGAAGTAAACCTGGAATTAACTGCCTCTTTTGGTCCAGATTGCATTAATACTACTTATTAGATTTATCACCTCAGTTTGCTCATCTACAAAAAAAATTTTTGCGACCCAGGACTGTGCCTATTCACAAGTAGGCATTCAATAAAATAATAGTTGTTATTTTGGGAGAATTTAAATTCTTTATAGGGAAATTTCCGAGACTGGCATAAACACTGAAAAGATGACCTGAAAAGATGGCATTTGTGTTTAGGTTGAGAAGGGAAGCCAAGTAAAAAGCATCCCATACCAGGGGGTGTAAGAGAAGATAACCTCATGTAATCAAAGATCATGGACAGTGAAATATTTTTGGATGAAATGCAATGTCTGGGATTTGCTTCAAATTGCTCCAGCAGAAGTGTGTGGGGAAGACAGATGATAAGACCGGCAAATGGGACTAACTGGAGCTGCTTCACTGGATGACATCACCCAGGAGCTCTCTGTACTCTTTTATGTCAGCAGATGTTTGAAAATTTCCATAATGGAGGGGGGGTGTGGGGGGCACAATATAACGTGGATTACCAGCATTAGGTCATTAAACAGATCATTAACCACTTGCCTAAAAGGTCATTTTGGGAAAAGAAAACCTGATCTTCATAGTTGGTTGGAACTGAAAAGATGCTTGAAATATCACTGAGAGCAGGACTGGGAGATAAGCATTGCTTTGTTTAGTGATTTGATTTTCTACTTTCCCTCTTGTGTCCTACTGCTGAAAATTTGTATGACAGGTGACCAAATCTTTTACCTCCATGTAATTTCCTTTCTTTTAATTTTTATGGTTTCTTTCTCCTTAGGAGGTCTCAGATTGAAAACTTGAGATCATGCACCATCACACCCATGACTGCCACTTGTCAATCTCCTGCGTGCCTGGTTCTGTTGGATGCTCGTCAGCTGTGAGTCATACACTCTCAGAAACACACACTGACAGAATCCCAAATTATCAGCTGCTCCATTATCCCATACACATGACTTAAATGTGACAGGAGAGAAAACAATGAGCTGCTGGGAGTTGAGGGCAAAGAAGGGACTGTGACATTTGGTGCAATCAGACCTTTTACCAATCATCATTGACCTCTGCGAGAAGCCAAGGCCCGTGGTGGAATCACAGGAGTGGAGTGGGGATGGGAAGGGGCCTCGATGTTCCCCAGTCCAACTCCTCCTCCAAAGCAGGACTTCCTACAATGGCTAAGATGCTTTATCACTCAGGCAGTTCACTGTGTAGAAATACCTATTAACGGTTTCTCCTTATGCCTGGAACTGAAAGCTCCCATCATATAAATTCCAATAAATTTTTATGGCAAGTCTTTCCCTCCTCTGAAAGCTGGCTCCTTTAACTCAACCCCATCAGTTATCAGGCCAATCCCAGAATTAGGAATTTTATTTATTCTCAGAATAATGATCTATACCAATCTTAATAGCTTAAAAGCAAGCCTAGAATAAACTGCCTCTTTTGGTTCAGACTACTTATTAGATTTACTACCGATTACTAATTTATTGTTAATTAATATTAAATACTACGTGCCTAAATAATGTCTAGTGCTCAACTCCCTGGAATCTTTTCTTTGTGCTCTGCTCCTATCCATCCCCAGTGACTTAAAAGCCCTAAGCCAGGTACTAGATAAAAGTTTCCTCAGGCTGTTTTGATTTCTGTTCAGTTATCCTAGCTGGGATGCAGATTAACTGTTTGTACTAGGACCCAGATCTGAACTCCAGGTGACAGGCCTCGTATCACAGTGCCTTCTGGTATCACAGCGGCTTCTGCCCAGGACTGTGTTCTGTTTCTAATCATAAGCTCCTAATGGTCAGAAGTAATCCAGATAGGCGTATAATTCATGAAACTGCTGCCTCCCTACTGGTGACAACTGCACAAATAGGAGCAGTTCTGTCCTGTGAAGCTAAGCAAAATGTATCAATTCCTCACACCCATACAGCCAACAGGTATAAAAGTTTGATATAAATAAAACAATGGAGAGCTCAGCTGCAGCCATAGAAAGAATCCTTTAATTGCCAGACTCTGTTATCAGACCAGGTTTGGTGGGCTTTGTGGCTGGAGCATACTTACAAAGACACACAGTGCAGTAGTCGGTACCCTCACTTCTTTACCAGAACCAGGGTGAGTATCCACATTATCCTGAGGGACTGGAAAGGAAGAGACAGAGCGTCTCCTAAGAAATAACACAGACAAATATTAGACAGGATTACAGAGGTTTGTTGTTCAACAAATGTCAGAAACAACTCAAAGACGACCTTCCTTAAGCAGACTGCCTCTGTCAATAGCTTTTGTCCCTTGTAGACTCTTCAAACCACAGAGCTATTCACAAAAAATCAGAAGCGTTCTCACTCAATGAGAAAGAGAGCCAGCGGATACCTTACTCTCCTGCTTGCTAACTCAGACTCCAAAACTCAACACTGGAAAGCAATTCTGAACAACCGCTTACTCAGATAATAAACTGCTAGGAAACGTTTTCAACATAACAGCTTAGCTCAGAGGTAGCTCTTTGGTATTTCTGTAAAACTATTTTAGATGATTTCTATGCCTAGTTACAATCATCCTCAGCATACACCTGTGGCCAATGCGGAGTTGAACGCATGCCAAAAGAAAGAGCGACGAGAACATGAGTACGGTACAAAGATTTCAACCTGACAGCCCTGCTCAGAGGGCTGCCAGCATTCCTAGAACATGCAAAGCATCCTGGTTAGCACGTGTACATCTGATGATTGAGGGTAGTGAAGCGTGATCAGCATAATTACCAATGACCCACACTCACATGCTGGGCTAAGAGAGAGAATATTTTCACCTGGCAGCATCAGAAGAATGATGTCCCAAAAGGGGAGACTCGGACAGACTAAAGGGAAAGGCCAGAGATCAGCACGCAGTGAGATTGAGAGAAAAGTTGAGGGAAAAAAGGAAGAAGCTAAACAAAAAGCTGAAATTAAGGCATCTGTATACTCTGCACCACTGAAATTCTGGTGTACATTAAAAAAATAATAAATCATGTACATACACTTAGGTATATTTACATACATTTTAAAAAGGAAAGGTGATGGTCTTCTAACCTACCCAAAGATATTAGTGATAGAATCCAGAAGGCCTCCAGCAGGCTGCGAGAGTCGCTTACTAAAGAGGAGGGGAGGATAGGTTTAAACCTTAGAAACATTTTGCCCAAATAATCAATCAATAAAAACAGTCCATAAAAACAGGTACCTGGGAGTATGTTTCCCATTTAGTTCCCAAACCCCAGGCAAGAGAAACCCAATACAGGACTGAACCACCAGAAAATAGTGGGAAGGTAGAAGGGAAAATCCAGCCTAAAAGTTTTTAAAAGAAACAAGGTTCCCTAGAATTAAGTTAATTTCCCTGGAAATAAAGCCTTAGACAAGGAAATTGTCTAACTGATCTAATAATTTCTGGGTGTTAATAACCAATCCCCACTCCTTCAGTCCTGCTTTAGGAAAAAAAAGAAAGAAAATCCTTGAGCCCTCGTAAGAATTAAACAGTATGATCTAAACAATCATTCTGCTTGCTACGGTTTAACTATCTTTTAGGAAGCCACTACATGTTTTTAGAAATGTGAGGCCACCTATGCTCTGTCTGCCTCCCATTAAGCAGAAGTCAGCTTAGAGAGACCAGACACCTATGCGGTGTGCCAGCAAAGGGCTCAGAGGTTTGGGTGCAACTGATTCCGTTCTTTTGTGATGTCCACATATTTGCTGTCAAACTGTGGCTCGAGCTCTCCCTCTCCTGGCCCAACTGTGTCTACTTACGTGGCTGCTCTGCTGATGGCTCGCACGGGAGAGGTCTCCTCAGTGTGATCAGAGGTTTCGTCCACAATGACTTCAATGTCATCATCCCTGGAAAGAAGGGCAAGGGATTCTCTGATTCTGCTGAACAGGAGCTTTGTGATGAATCTGTTTGGCAAATGCCAACATCCTTTTCTAGTCACACACAACCTATGTGACTTGGCTATGACAGACGGTTAAAAGTTCTGTGGAGAAAAAGGAAGAGCTGCCATGCTCCAGGCAACACTAAGAGAAACATTTAACCTGTTCAAATCAAATCCAGAATTCCAACTGCGAATAATTTTAAGTGAGCATTTGATCCTTTTAGATATAAACACAGCTCCCACTTGAAAAGCAATCAAATAATGGCCTGTTGATTCTGTAACCGCACGACCAATACCAAGGCAGAGCTTTCCAACGCAAGTCAGCTTCACAGCTAAAGGGCTGTAGCACTCACCACTGCACAGTTCCCGCAAGACATGGCTGAGTATCTAAGACAGTTAGGGGCAGCTGTGGAGTACAATGCAATAACAGTGTAGGAAGCTTTGCACAGTGGCAGTATCGTAGCCAATGAGGTCTATCCAAGGCACGATTATTGCTAAAAAATAAATAAATAATAAAATAAATAAAAAAAAGAAAAAATGTATAGGGAGACGAATCCAGGGAAAGAAGGGATTGCTAAAAGGGCCATTAACAACTTGATTCTATATATTTAAAGATAGAAAAGCAAAAGCTAAACACTATTCACTTTTGACTCTGGTTATTTTATGCTTATGTTTAAACACTCGGTGCCTCTGACATCTGGAGAGCCCATCACGTTTCAAGTGATATCATCAAGTCCTAGTAACATGCTCCTTTTGCTGTGGTTCATCCCACCAGATGCAAAGCACCCCTGGAATTCCCTCTCTTCATTTCTGTGGGCCACACCTTTCCTGGTTGAGGGGTAAGGCAAGTAATTATTTTGGTCTTAATGACCTCCCACTGAGTTCCAATCTTCATTGAGAAGTAAAATAATAAAATGTAATAACTCAAGACTATCACTTGTTTGGGTTTGTAAGAACTTGAAAACATGATTTTTCCTTTTCCATGATTAATTATCTGGATTATATAAACATATACTCAAGAATGTATTACCAAGCAAGTTAAAACAAGTCAAAGTCAATTTATTTTCCTTGGCTATTTACTCCAGGATTATATGTAATTATACCACATTCTTGGCCAGGATGTAGATGAGAGTAAAGGCAGGCCTAAATAAAGAGGACACGCTGAGTTTTATTTTCTTCTTGGTTGGCTTTCACACACATTTAGGTTTGTGGGAGTCACCTGTGCTCTCACAAGGATACCTGTGCTCCTGCAAAGGTGGCAAAAAGAGCAGTATGAGCTGAGCCTATGACGGTGCTCTAAGACAGAATTTTATGGTCATAAAGCACCTGGAACTGTACACAGGTCCAGGGCCATTAGAGAATACCATGATTTGCCAACTCATTATCAAAACCTTTCAAAGATGCAAATGTCCTCCTTTGACCTAGAAATTTATCTCTTAGGTAAGAGGCATAGAAATTAAGAGCAGCCCCCCCCCCTTAAAAAAAAAAAAGAGAGACAGGATCTCGTTCTATCACCCAGGCTGGAGTGCAGTGGCACAATCATAGCTCACTATAACCTCAAATTCCTGGGCTCAAGCAATCCTCCTGCCTCAGCCTCCTAAGAAGATGAGACTACAAGGCATGTGCCACCATGCCTGGCTAATTTTTAATTTTTTTTGTAGAGATAGGGCCTCACTATGTTACCCAAGCTGGTCTTGAATCCCTATCCCCAAGCTGTCTTCTAACATCAGACTCCCAAAGTGCTGGGATTACAGGCATGAGCCACTGTGCTTGGCCTAAGAACAGGGCTTTGTAGCCCTAGGTTTGCATCCTAGCTTAGCCCTGCCTGTGTGATCCTGGGCAAGACACTCAACTTGACTAAATCATGCCACACTCAGTCACCTGGTTATGCTGGCAAATGACATTTTTGTAAGCTGTTATCTTTAAGAAACCAAATCTCATTTCTAGGCTAACTACTTATTTACTTTATGGCTTTGGGAAAATACATGTGAGATTAACTTTCCACATCTAAGAGTACAGAAGATGCATACATACCCTACATCTAAAGCAAAGGCTTGGTATGAGAACCTTTGTTTTCTTACAAATTACGACACTTGCTATTGAATTATTTTTACCTGAATTTAAACCACTCCCTTCCACTTACAAAGAAGCAACCAACATTTTTAAAAATAGTGGATCATAATTCTAAAACTATATTCTAAAAATATTTCAATAGAAAGGAAACACAAAAAGCAAAGCAAATTTTGTTATTAAAATATCCACCACTCTTAAAACCTTCAAATCTCAAGGAATATCCCCCATCCCAATTTGTAGGCAGATTAGGAAAAGTTCCAGAACTGATTCAATCCCTTTTGTTTTAAGAGATCTTAGCTTTCACTTATGCTTGCACTTAAACTAACAAACCAAAAGAAAGTGAGAGAAAGAACCCTTAGCCAAGCCATTTCCCAAGAACGGGCCCAATTAGAGGCAGAAAACTGAAAAGTGTCAACAGGAAACAGTGAGGCGGTAATGTATACAGAGTGCAGGAAGTTAGAGCTCACACTCACAGCTGAGGAGTATAAACAGGAACAACTTTTTGGAAGGTTACTGGCAATATGCTCCAAAAGCTTTGAGTCACCAAATTTCACTTCCAAGAATTTATCTCAAGTAATCAGAAATATGGTCAAATATGATCAAAGATCATATTCAGTACATTATTTGTAAGTGTGAAATCCGAAGCCACCAAAACACAACTAAAATGATATATGGATGTTACTTCTGGGGGGTAGAAGAATTATGTGTTATTTTTTCCCTTTTTCAGTTTCCTTTCTAAAAATCTATAAAATAATTTTACAGAAATAAAACACTATAAAACTATTTAAAAGTGCCAAATTATCAGAAGGATAGTTTTGGTTTGTCTCTACTTACTGTTCAACCGGTAGAGGTTCCTTTGCTGCTTCTGCAAGCTCTTTCTGCAGCCGCGCTTGCCGCCGCCTATTAAGAAAAACCCAAGGTTGGGGAAGGAAAAAAAGGAAAAGAAAAAGAAAAAAGAAGAAAACCCACCATTTATGTCTGCTCAAGGAAAGCACAGGGTTTCGGCTCTCAGTAAAATACTAGTTCCAATAACACATTTGAACATTCAGTGCATTTAAAATAACTACCCTGTGCAAAGGTATCCAAAGTCCCAGACCCAAACCAGTAACAACAGTAAGGCTTCCCTTCTAACGGGTTTCTTAGTACAGCCTAGAGGAGAGATCCTGTTACTAGAGAAAGCAGTGAACTAGCAAGGGAGCAGCCTGCCAGCTTGGACCAGGGCCTCTCAGGACAGAAAGGTACCTTAGGTTTACTGGGGGTTAGACACAGTTATGACTTAGTTTTCTGCAGCAAACAGTCTTATATATGTTGAGTATCCCTTATCCAAAATGCCTGAGACTAGAATCGTTTCAGATTCTGGATTTTGGAATATCCAGATTATACTTACCAGTTGAATGTCCCAAATCTGAAAATCCAAAATGCACCAGTGAGCTTTCCCTTTGAGTGTCATGTCAAAAATGCTAAAAATTTAGGATTTTGGAGCATTTTGGATTTTCAGACTTTGGACACTCAACCTATACTAACATACCCACAACATGAATAACAATAGTGAAGATTTACTTAGAACTTATTTGTACCTGTTTAACAATTTTATAGATTTTAATTCATTTAATCTATATAACAAGCCCCTGAGTTAGGTACTATTATTCCCATTTTACAGATGAGGAAACTGAGGTATAGTAAGATTCTTGAACTATCAAAGTCACATAACTCTAATTTATTAAAGCTAGAAATAGAAGTCTTGGCAGAATTTTAATGTGGTCAACAGTCTCACCCACTCACTCCTCCTCTCAGAATCATTTTTATCTTTCCTTCCCTCCCAAGTCCTAAATTCTGGAACTCCCTAATTTTTAACCTTGGTTTCAATCTCTCTTTCTTGGCAATTTTGTCTCTAACTATGGTTATCCTCTGTATGAAGAGGACCCCCAATTTAGAACTCTAGTACTGCTACTGAGCTCCCATCAAGAATTCTGCTGAAATTTCTTTTAAGCTTCCACCACAGTGGTAATGCTCAAACTGAGGAAAAGTCCTCTGGGTGGCATATCAGAATCTTGAGAAGTGATGAGGATATAGCTTGAAAAAGTTCATCACACTCTTCATTTTATACCTAGAAGATGAAAAATAAGTTTTACAGGACAAATGACCAAAAAATGCAATTTACCAAAATTTTCTTAGGTGGAAGAGACAACCTATGAACTATTTTTGAGAGAAAACCAAATCTCAGTGCAGGGAGTATAACTCTACAGGAAAGGCACTTGCTGGTAGACTGTCTGAAATCTACCTGCTTCTAAAACTTCAGGTCCCAGTTCTACAAGGTAGAGAAAAAAACCTGACCTAGGGTCACAGGGAGAGGAAGGCAACATCTGTAGCCAAGCCCTCATCAGTATAGCTGAAAGTTCAACTCTTTCCTAAGAGAACCTTTAGCAGCCACTGTGCCAGACTCTGGGGACACACCTCAGCCTAGTGAGGAGGGCAGAACATGAAGAACTGTTTCAAACATGCTACATTGTGACCTAGGTAAGTGAAAGCTGCTAGAAGAAAGAAGAAACACCTAAGCTGAAGGACTGGCAGGAAGTGGGTAATAACAAGGCTTCTAGAAGGAAGAAATATCTTTTTTTTTAATTTTAAGACCGTATCAAGCATGTGAAGGGGAGGAAGTACCTGAGCAAAGTAATGAAAAGACTCCCCAGGCCCATGTCTGCAATCACATGACACCTGCAAGTGCTTATTCCCAGGAAACATTTCAAAGGGAGGAATAAGGAACGAGGGCAGATATCTGACGTGTTCTCCATACCATTTTGATGTGAAGTCTGCGTTATTCTCCCTGTCCACTGTGATGCTCTGGGGATCTTCCCTGGCATCACCACACACCTTCGTAACTTTTCCCTCCAGCAGCCTTTGGATTACTGTGAACATGCGACCTAGCAGCATTGGCTAACCCTGGGGTCCCCCCACCACCCTCACGCTGCTGAAGAACTCCATGGCATGAGCCACACTATTTAAGTAAATGTGACACAGAAAGAACACAAAAAGGACAGCTCTTAAATATTATAGAAACTTTAGAAAGTCAGAAAATACAGAAAAGTATAAAATAAGAAAACAAAAACCACAATCTCAAACACCATTAACAGTACATGTAATTACTTCTAGTCTTTTAAAAAAATGCACATAAAATTGTGATGTTTTATGAAAATACCTATGTCCTATTTTGTGTTATATTAATTTTAGGCATTTTTCATGTCACTAAGTATTCTTAAAATACATAATTTTCCTTTTTTCCCCCTTTTCTTTTTCTCTTTTTATTAAAATATATAATTTTAAATGGTTTTATCAAATTCCACTGTATGAATACAGTATAATTTCATTATTCCACAAGGGATGCACTATTAATTTTTTCACTACTATGAATAATGTGCTGTCACAAAAATTTGTTAACAAGTCCCTGTACTTCCTCAGGATAAAGCTAAACAAGCAGGAACACTTTTCAGCTCTTATACCCCCCACAGTGCCCTCGAGGAGGCAGTTCAAATGAGCTTTCTATCTGCCATGCAAGGGCCCTGTGCCACCTCCTCCTGACCCGCTTTTCTGCCACATTCACCGACCATGTCAATCTCTGCCTTTGAGACTCTATGTGCTTCTTGTCCGTTTGAGTGGTCTTTTCCTTGCTGACTCTATAGTAACAATATTTATCTAAAAAGAACATTTCCTAGTTTATTGTTTCGTTGTTCTTTGATGGTAGGAAATGTAAAAATTTGATACAGTGCATTCTATTTTCATTACTGTTATGTTTAGAAAGTCTCCTGATACTCCTCACAGAATAAACGGGAGACAGTCATCCATGCTACCCTTCTACCTTTGTGGCTTCAGTTTTGCAGATTTTGTGACTCTGATTATCTGGTGAGGCTAGCGCTCATCACTACTCTCTGCGACCCTTTCCTACTGTCACTTATTCGTTCTTCTTTTAGATCAACTACAATAATCTTTCCAAATTCTAAACTACTGATAGATTTTTAAAAATATGTTCTAATCTCTGTAAAACTTTTGTTAATAGTTTTCAGATGATTTTCTTAGGTTTTCTAGAAGGATAACCACCCTTTTCTTTTCAATGGTACACTCGAGGTTTGGTGCCATACCATAGGTTGCTTGGTCAGGACATCCAGAAAGATGATCTCTAAGAATCGTGACAGAATGAGCCTTACCTCCTTTTCTTGCTGGTTGGTTTTAATGGGAGTGTATGTAAAATGGTGGACCAGTGGACTTTGACCATGGATCTATTAAGACTCTCTGGAGCTTTTAAACCAGGGGTCCTCAAAATGGTGGCCCGCGGGCCACATGCCACCCACCAAGGACATTCATCCGGTCCTCCGGGTGCTTTTGCTTCTGCTGCCTGTCCTGCTTAGCAGCCGACTTGTCCCGGGCCCATAGTGCGCATGTCTGGAATGTGCACCACACTCTCCAACGGTCTGAGGGACAGTGAACTGGCCCCGTTTAAAAAGTCTGAGGACTCCTGTTTTAAACACAGACACTTCCCATGACAGAGATATGGATTCTTAACATCTAGGATAGAAAGCTTCCCTCTTAAGAACACTACTTGGGGCTGTTGTTCAGAGATAGGTGTTTTTATTAGATGTTCTCTTTTGTTCCCAATTTAAGAGTTTTTATCAGAATTAATCAGAATGGCCTTTTGGAATCTACTAAAATGATGTGTCTCATCGAATGTGCTATACATTTAATTGATATCTCAATAATCCATCTCTTAATTCCTAAGTCTTAGCAGGATTTAAGATTTTTCTTAAGTAGCTAAGTCTTAGTAGGAATGCAGTGAATTTTTAAAAAATGTATCACTGATTTTGATTTAGCAATCCCACATCTATATTCACATTGAGACTGGACTAGTCTTGTGTACTTGCAAGATCAGAATTTTCATATGGGTCTGAAGAGCTTCACAAAATTTGGGAGTGGGGGATTCTAATCTTTCTCCAATTCTGGTTTCGTTTATATTGTCAGGAATTAGCTTTTCCCCTCAAAACACTGAGAATTCCCTGGCAAAAAGAGTACGGGCCAACGCCTCTCTGGGAGATATACCTCTGCCCAGCTATAAAAGTGTCCTTATAAATACAAATTTTTCTTATATCCACTCTATCACTATTTCTAATTTTTTTAGTGTTTTGTATTTTTTTTCTCCTTGCAGTTAGAATTGTCAGGTTTGTTTCTTTCTTTTCAAAGAACTAGGATCTACTTTACTAAAACTGAAACCACTAACTATAGATTGATGTCCCACCTGGAATCCTTTTCATTCTCTGCGTTCAGGCGATTAGCTTCCTGGGCTTTTTCGGCCATCCACCTGGTGACCAGCTCCTGGTTCTCTTCAGTAGTTTTCCTCAGTTTCTCCTCCAAGGCAGTAAAAGTGATCTGCAGGGCATCATATTCATCCTTCAGGGTCTGGTTGGCTCTTTCAAGGTCCTGAAGCTTTGTGCGCAGTTCTAGGCACTCTGTCTCAAGGTCGGAGATAGTTTGCAAACACTCTGCAATTCTGAAAGCACAACATTAGAGGAGGAATCGTACCTCACCAGAGCCCTGCACCAGAGCCAGAGGGACCTGGCTGAGTGCTCCAACTCAGGGCCCACAACAGGGACGCAGGTGATCACACCAGGCCCTGTGTGAAACACTTTTGTGTTCATTATATTCCTTAGCCAGGTCCAGTCTAACAGTTTACAGAAAAATCCTGCAGAGAGGAAATTCACCCTGACTCCGAATGACTAGTGAAAGTACCTTTAAGAATAGCAGGATTTAAACGAAGAAGGAGTTTTTGATGCTTAGATAAGGGGACTTAAAAGGAGGCTGGAAAGCCTATGTGTTTCACCAGCTCTAACATTCCCTGAGCAAGTGTCCCACCTTTCTAAGCCACTAGATCCCTCCCCACATATTAAGGAAACTCAAGTGCTGTTCCAGCTCCAACGTCACAGGATTCAGAGTCCCCATTAATCTTGTCTGCCAGACCTGACCAACAACAGCATTACTCAGAAACTCATTTCCCTGTTCCCAAGGGCCACACACTCGGCTATCTTGGACCTATCTCCACCACAGAAGATACGAGCTCCCATGCATAGCAGACACAGGAGAACTGTGAGTGCATCTGGGACACTTGCAAGGGCCAAGGTTACTTCCCTAGGAAAATGCTAGAAGCCCGGGGACCTGAGAACAGTGGTCCTTGCTTTTTTCTTCTCAGAGCTACAGAAAAGGATCCCAGATTGTGTATGCATTGAAACAAAACTCTTCCTGAATGCAGTGTGGCCACTGTTCACCACTCGCCCCACTCATCAGAGCACAACAAAACAGGATGTGTGACCCAATGACAGGCCCCAAGGACACATGGCCTCTACTCACTTTGCTTCATTCATCTGCATCTCCCTGTCCTTCTGCTGCATTTGGTTATTCAGGTCAATCACCAACTGAGCTAACTGGGAGATAAAGAAGAACACTTTCATAAATAACAGATTTTAGGACCTTACTTTGAAACTACATAGTGGGTGACTATTTCTAACAAAGAAAATGTTCTTGTGGGGTTGGGTAAAGGAAGCAAGAACAAACAAGCTTGGTGGCAGCAAGGAGAAGGGCCTACGGGGATGCACATGGGCATTATCCCTGATGCTCCCTGCTGAAGCCCAGTTTGGATGAATAAGAAGTGTGCTACGTGACCGCCTGGGACTCACTGAGGACAACTGCCTACCCCTTGAGACTGCAGCTACCTTTTTGGAGACTCATGTCTGCCGAAGAAACTATCAATTCAGCTGAACTGATGGTAAATTGTATTTTCCCAACTGGAGCTTTGCCACAAGACCACCATCCAGGGTAAACACAGCCTAGGACTTGATTCTTTCTAATGAAGATTTCTGAAGTTTTAGGGTTCACACTCAAAAGTTGCCTGGTATTTCCAGCCAGTTTTCCCCACCCTTTCATTCTGTGATGCCATATTTGGCCAAGACTGCTGCCAATTCTAGCAGGAAGTGACTGGGCTCCCATCTCCCTCCCACGGGACCCTCACAGACTGCAGAGAATAGATGAGGGAAGGGGCTAGCTTTACCTCTCCACGTTTCTTATGCAATTCAGTCAGTTCTTCTTGGTGTTTAATCCTCAGCTGGGCCATTTCTTGTAGCTGACTGTCATTCCACGTGCCATCATGTCCAGGACTAAATCCCCACACCAGGCAGATGAAGAGGACATGCAAAAAAAAAAAAAAAAAAAAGACAGGAAGAAAGGGGAGAGGGAAAAATCAGGCTCCAAACCTCTCCAATGGCAGTGGAACAATAACTTCAGAATTTCAAACCTGTACATGTTCACATAGCCAATAAGCCATTTTAGTCTTTCTAGCAGCTGCAGTTACCAGCTGCTACATATAGGAAGTAAGAAACAAGACACACAGTAGAGCAAAGCAACCACAACCATCAGCCAAGTCCAGAACAAAGGATGGAAGGTTCCTGAATGAGGTGCAGGTGATACACAGAGGAGCCAATGAGGCCCATTCCCTTGGCAAGTATGTGAGTGTCCGTGATGTACCAGGTACATCTTGGTGCTGGGGAGAAGGCAGTGAGTGCACAGATCTGCTCTCACATCACCTAAAATTAATCACAACCAGATGGACAATAAATAAGGAAATGTGTGAGGTCAGGAGTCACATGAGCTGTGAAGAAAACTCAAGCAGGGGCAGGAACAGAAGGACAGGGCCCTGGGTTTTCTAGGGTAACTAGGAGGGTCTCCCTAAGGTGACACACAACTGGAGATGGGAAAGAAGTGAGGAACAGGCCACATGGACCCCTAGTGGAAGGGCCCCTGGAGCAGAAGGAACAGCAGGTAGGAGGGCGGTGGGTGCCTGGTGGAGGCACACAGTTGGCATATTGGAGGGTGACTGCAGCCTACCTGCAGGGGACAAAAGTGTGGAGATCACACAGAGCCTTGTGGGCCCCTCTGAGGGCTGTGGCGTTTACTAAGCATGAATGGAAGCTGCTGGAAGAGTTTTGAGCAGATGAATGACTTAGGGCTTAAAGGATCGCTCTGGTTGCTGCGCGGAGAGCAGGCTGCAGGGGGGCAATGGCAGAACTCAGGGGACCAGTTGGCAGGCTACTGCACAGTGCAGACATAGGGTAGACACCAGTGGTACAGCCTAGACCAAGGTGGAAACAGGGGAGGGGTGAAATAGGGGCAGACTCTAGATCCACTCTGAAAAGAACACCTGCAGGACTTGCCTTTGAATTGGACATGGGGTGTGAAAGACAGACAGGAGTCAAGGATGATTCAAGGCTTCTGGCCTGAGCACCTGGACAAAGGTAGGTGTCACCTACTGAGATGGGCAAGCCTGTGAGAGCAGTAGTTTTGGGGGAGGCCTGATGAGTTCAGTTGTGGACTTTCAAGTATATATATCAAATAGAAACTGGATATTAGAGTCTCAACTTCAAAAAGACATCTAAGCTGGAGGCTGACATACAGAAGTTGTGAGTAAACGAACGTACCTAAAGCCACTAGAGTGAGTTCAGATTACCTTAGGAATCAGGGTAGTTTTGGAAACTTTGCCAACTGTCTGCATAATATCTCAGAAACAGCAGCTGATGACTAGAACTGAGCACTTATAGTTCAAGAGAAGGATCTTGGCTGGAGCTACAGATGAGAATTACCAGATTATAGTGAGTAGTTGAAACCACTGCCCAGGGAAAGCTTGTAGATGGAGAACAGGAAGAAGGCTGGACACTAAGATACCAACATCTAAAGGAAGGAGGAAGAGCTGCCCACTCCATATGACCTATAATAAAACAAAAAGAGGAAGAAAAAGGGACAGTATATACTACTATTTTACCCTCCCTACTATTTTACCCTCCACTTCTACACATATTCTTATTACATTCCTAAGCACAAATTAATACCTCATCCTTTGAGGCAACCTGGCACTTCTCCAGTCTTAGCCTATGAAGTAGAAGCCAAGAGATTAGAAAGTGCAATACACTTTACATGAAACCATCCTAAATCAGGCAGAATTAGACAGAATCTTATCAAATCCTCTCATTTTTGATACAAAGCAATGTGTAATATGCAAAGTATAAGACGCAGTCCCTCCTTTCTGAGGAGCTGGCATTCTACAGAAAAGATTCATGAAATAAAAACAATATAAAGAAAAACAAATATGTGTTAATTATGTTCAGAGGCAGAGGTGTCCCTAGCAAGAACGGTTTTGGGTTGGGAGGGGTTTCAGAAGAGGAACCAGAATGGCATCTCCTAGGAAAATCAAAATGTAGATAAGACCAGGTAGAAGGGCCACAGCTAGAAGCTTAAGCCTCAAACCACATCAAGACAAACTCAACAGAATTGCTAGGAGACTAAGGCAAGAAGGATACAAGTCATTCTATTCCTAAAAGCCTCCAAGAACTTCCTATATTTTACTCACAATTTAACTCAAAAGCCTTAAAATAGCCCACCAACAGTGTTTCACTAAGAGGACAAAAGAACCACCTGCTGGATGTGTTTAAGTACAGATTCTAGGGCCCAATCAGCAGGTGATCTACTTTTCTAGGAAGGCCCAGCAATCTCCATTTCTAACTGGCACTCAGGTGATGAGATTGCTGCTGGGTCACAAGGACTCAGTAGCCTGAAGGCAGCAGTGCTCAAATTTTAGAGCTCCTCAGAATCACCTAGAGCAGGGATCCTCAAACTTTTTAAACAGGGGGCCAGTTCACCGTCCCTCAGACCGTAGGAGGGCTGAACTATAGTTTAAAAAAACTATGAACAAATTCCTACGTACACTGCACATCTTATTTTGAAGTAAAAAAACAAACGGGAAAAAACACCCGCATGTGGCACGAGGGCTGTAGTTTGAGAATGCCTGATCTAGAGGGTTTCCTAAAATTCGGATTACTGAGCCCCATTCCCAGAGTTTCTGATAAAATAGATCTGGGGCATGCCCAAGAATCTGCATTTCTAACAATTTCCCAGATGATACCAGCAGTCCAGGAATCCAGCTTAGAATAAACAATTTCCAGGCTGAAGAGTTTATTTTAATTTGAAGACAAAGTGATGAAAACACTTAAGAGGAAAGCCTGGTAATTGATAGATTGCTATTTAAGCACAATGTGCAGTTTGTTTAAGGTTTAATGAGGATGAGATGGGCAGGACCAAAGGAGAGACAGGAGGAGGAAGGGGGGAAGGAAACCAATCAGGTACCCATCTTCTGTGGGCACCCTCACCACATTCTCCAGTAAACACCCCTTTGAGTTGGTCTCTCCCACCAGACTCCGCACCTCTTCAGAGCAGGGGCTCCAGCTCATTCATCTCTTTGTCTCCAATGCTTAGCACACACTGCAGTCAGAGAATTCCACTGAAAGAACAAGATTCCCACCACAGTCCAGGAATGAGATGATAGATAATAAACGAAGGGGATGGCAAAATAAATGCAAACTAAGAGACAGATGGAAAAGGCTGTACGGTGAAGAACCAAGAGGCCTGGGTGACTGAAGGAATACAGGGAGGGGCAGGATATGGAGGGGGAAAAGGAACCACAGATGACTCGTGGAAAATGGGATGCCATGAATAGAAACAAGGCAGTCAGGAGGACAGGCTTGTTATGGATAATGTTTGCGGGAAAGGAAAGCCTCCAATAACACGATTATCGCAGTGAAATTCAGCCAGAAGAGCTGTCATATTTATTTATGATACCTTCCCAAGGCAGTGAGTTTGGCTGACAGATAAAGGATACAGGAATATAGTCACTAAGAGTCTAATCAGAAAGAAAGAAAGAGTGAAATGCTATGAGTAAATAAATCAGGCTACCTCTATTTGTGTTTTTCTAACCTGCAATTATCAACTTTGTTTTTAAAATGCTAAATGTGGATAGATTTCAGAACAATAACAGGTATCGTTCCCATATAAACCACCAAATTTAATGTGCAAACATAAACATTACGTAAAAGGATAGTAAAACTCTATTTAAGCTGCTTTGATGAAATATGGCTGTCTGATTTTTTCTGGACCATGGCCCTTCATAAAGAAACACAGCAAATATACATAAATGTACAAAAAATGACCCAGTAAACACATTAAACACTCCATCATGAACACATGTGTATATATTTAATGAAATACTCTATTAAAATACACTGACATTTTTCTAATCTAGTTCTTAAAAGAAAAAGCTTCTTGCAACCTGCTAATTTGATTTCACAGTCTAATACAGATGCCCCTCCACTAACAATGGGGCCACATCTTGATAAATCCATCATAAGCTGAAAATATTAGAAGTCAAAAATGCATTGAATACATCTAACCTACCGAACATCATAGCTTAACCTACCTCAAAACACTTTCAAAACATATTAGCCCACAATTGGGCAAAGTCATCTAACACAAAGACTGTTTTATAATAAAGTACTGAATATCTCATATAATTTATTGAATACTATACTGAAAGTGAAAAACAGAATGGTTGGATGAGCACTCAAAATACAGTTTCTACTGAATGCATATTGCTTTTGCACCACCATATTGAAAATTTTAAGTCGAACCATTCTAAGTCAGGAACCCTTTGTATGCTGGAAAAACACTGAGCTAAAAGGATGAAATAGACCCATACTGCATAAAAGTAATTTGTGTTTAAATTACTTTTAAACACAGTAAATAAATACGCACTTTTACACAGCACTTTTACACAGTAAACAAATACTTTTAAACATGCGCCAGTCATGACTGCGCCAGTCAATCCTGTATTAACAAGATCTATGTAAATCTGTTCAGGAATACCTGTCTCTATTTTAAAAAAAAAGCAAACCCTGGTAGGTTTGAAGAGAAATTGACCTAGGGTTACCCCCATGAACTTGCCTTAAGAAATTTCTCAAGCTGAGAGCACTGCACTGATAATAACTCTTCTAGGTATGCACCTCAGCCAACTAATCCTCCTACCTCGGCCTCCCAAAGTGCTAGGATTACAACAGCCATGAGCCACTGAGCCCAGCCAGTATGTACATACCTTCTAAAAAAACAATCTTACTTGGTTTAAGCAGTTCTTATTTGAAAGGAACTGACAAAAACTAGAATAGTACTTCACTTGCTTTTAAATTAGAGTGACAACTAAACTAAGATAAATTTCAACAGAGGAAACACAAATAATACAGGTTAGTTTCAAAGTACCTTATCTCATGCCTGTTTGGTATGTCATGTTTTTCGGCCTGTAGTTTCTGGGCCAACACTGAATGAAGATCTGACTTCTCCAGTAACTTGTTATCTATTTTAAAAAAAGGTCAGAAATTAAGTTATTATAACATATGTACACTTTACATCTTATAATAAAGCTTGGGACCAAAAAATAACCAGATGACTCAGGTAGGTTTCACCTTTATTAGGCATTAAAGTACTAGATAATGTGTTTTGTTGTCATGGCAGCAATTGTATAAAATCCAGGAACATATACTCCTTAGAAGTTTCTTGGCCTACACTTGGGTAGTCCAGCCACAGTAACCTATGGAAACACACCTGCAAGAAGGTGCACCTATTAAAGGGAGGTGAAATTGCTTTCCACTCCCAGCATTGTTTGTTTCTATCTTGGAAGTAAAAAAGAAAGGAAGAAGAAAAACACATCAAACACAATGGCAAAGTGGTGAAATTCTATACACCTTTAAATAATAAAGGAGAACTTTACCATACTTTGATAAATTTAATTATTTTTCAGATCAGGGCACCTAGGGAAATACAAATCAGAGCCCCCAACATTGAAGGAGTTAAAATCAAATGTGTTTAACTATAAAAATGTGCAGAGAATAGTGACTCTAGTTTTACAGATAGTTCCACAGGGGGTGACATCTGAGTTGAGCCTTAAAGGAAGACTGATGGTCCAAGCAGAAGAAATAGCACAAAGTTGTTCAGTAAGTGGCTGGAAATAAAGGTTGGAGCCAACACATGAGAGGATGAGGAATTTAGACTTTTTCTTACTGGTAATGAGGAAATAAGAAATTGTAAATGCAGGTAGTTACATGAACAGATATGTACTGGTAGGAAGTCAAACATTATTCTGAAGTTCCTTGCTCAGGGAACTGGGTGGAAGGCATTAATGTATCAAGCACAGAAGAGAGAGCACTTAGGGAGGAAAAGGAGACTCTTTCTGAACATAGTATATTTTACAGGGGACCTAGTGGAGGAATTCAAAAGAAAAAACAGGGCTAGAAAGAACATGTAGTTAGGAACAACACAGGCAAACAGGGGCCAGTAAGATCAGATGGGGGGAAGGGGCACCAGGCAGAATAAGAAATTGACCACAGGAACCTACTAGAATAGCAACATTTGAAGGAGGTTGTCACAAATCCCACGTCTGAGATTAGAATTGCTCAGGAACAAAATGTGGATAGGGTTTATGCTAGTGATTATTCCTGTTAAGAGAGCCTATCTCGTCTCAAAAAGAGTCCCGAGTTCTACTTCTTGATATCTGAAAAGAGAACTCCTGGGTAAAAATACTTTCTTCATCTATATTAGTCAAATGCGTTAGCTAAACCAAACAGGGAAGTGATTCCAACCTTGGCTTTCATGACCAATAGAAAGACTTAAAATTCACCAGTGTCAAAGGGCTCTAATAAGATCTCCAAAATGTTCCACCAAAGCTTGGTGCCCTGCAATAATTTTAGGTCTTTCAAAGGACATGAGGCTAAGAAGGATCCTTCCCAAGGTTCCTCACTGAAAGGAAGGCTGGAGATGGAGGGAAGACTTTCCCCTCCCCCATAACTTCTTTCCATCTTTCTCTTCAGGCTCAGAGGCAGGGACTGAACAGGGGACTCCCGGTTGATGGAAGGTCAGAACTTGACTGTCCCGAGAAGGCTGGAATGAGAATGGAGGTGCTTCACAGTCACACTAGAAATGATCTCCCCAAATGTCAATCCCCCTACACAGAAGACTTGAACAGGCAAAGCCTGTCTCCCTCCCCTGCTCCCTATTAGTCTCTTCTCCCAGCCTCCTCTCCTGGCCCCTCAGACAGGCATTACTGACTACTCTAGCACTGTTTAAATAAGTCTCTCCACAACTGACCTCTAGTTCTGACTGTTCTCCTAACACACTCCCACCCCATCAAGATGTCATGTTTCGAAGCGCAAAAAAAAATTCCACTTATGTCAATGAGATAACCAGCATCTTACATTAAATAGACTATTACACAGATGGCTTTCAAAGCACAAATATGTGCAGCACTGTTATTAAGAAGCAGGCGGGGCCGGGCGCGGTGGCTCAAGCCTGTAATCCTAGCACTCTGGGAGGCCGAGGCGGGCGGATTGCTCGAGGCCAGGAGTTCAAAACCAGCCTGAGCAAGAGCAAGACCCCGTCTCTACTATAAATAGAAAGAAATTAATTGGCCAACTAATATATATATATAAAATTAGCCGGGCGTGGTGGCGCATGCCTGTAGTCCCAGCTACTCGGGAGGCTGAGGCAGAAGGATTGCTTGAGCCCAGGAATTTGAGGTTGCTGTGAGCTAGGCTGATGCCACGGCACTCACTCTAGCCTGTGCAACAAAGCGAGACTTTGTCTCAAAAAAAAAAAAAAAAAAGAAGCGGGCGGGGCAAGCTCCATCCTCATTTTATAGATGCAACAAACCAGACTAAGAAAGGTTAAGTAAAAAATTAGTTTTCTAATCTAAACTAGCGTTTCTAAACGCTGGTTATCTCATTGACACAAGTGGAATTTTTTTTTGCGCTTCAAAAAATGACATATTGATGGGGCGGGAGCGTGTAGTTAGCAGTGTATTAGACAGCCAACACAATTTGACATTCAAAGTATATTATCTTTTAAAGAATAAACATTCAATAAACACCTGATGAACTGAATTTATGTAATCTGTGAAGGAATCATAGTCTGAGTGAGAGACACTTATTATGCTTCTGGCATTGTGAAACATAATAGTACTGGTCTGCCAGGGACTCTTAGTATTTGGAAATAGCATGACAGTGACACAACATCTCCCTCTTTCTCCCTAGTTTTGTTAAGAGAATGGGTGCAGTAAAAATGAAGGAAGACCATTTATTGGGGGATCCAGTGAGAAAAGTAAATGCAGGCTGGGTACGGTGGCTCACGCCTGTAAGTAATCCTAGCACTCTGGGAGGCCAAGGCAGGCGGATTGCTTGAGATAAGGAGTTTGAAACCAGCCTGAGCAAGAGCAAGACCCCGTCTCTACTATAAATAGAAAGAAATTAGTTGGCCAACTAATATATGTAGAAAAAATTAGCCAGGCATGGTGGCGCATGCCTGTAGTCCCAACTACTCGGGAGGCTGAGGCAGAAGGATTGCTTGAGCCCAGGAGTTTGATGTTGCTGTGAGCTAGGCTGATGCCACGGCACTCACTCTAGCCTAGGCAACAAAGCAAGACTCTGTCTCAAAAAAAAAAAAAAAAAAGTAAATGCAAAAGTTAAGGAACTTAATCAAGCCTGAGTTGAAATCCCAGCCCCACCACTAACCTGCTGTGCAACCCAACAGTTTACCTAATTTCTCTCAGCCTCAGTTTCTTCATGTGTGAAGAGGGGAACCTGCTTCATAGAATTTGGGAAAAGATAAAATGAAATAACACATGCCACATATTTACCACAGCACTTGAACTTGTCTGCACATTAGAATCATTTGGAGAGTATCAAAAAACACTGCTACTCTCTCTATACTGTGATTTAACTGGTCTGCGGTGTGGCTTGGGCTTCATAATTTTTTCCAAAATCTCCAGGTGATTCTAATATCCAGATAATTTGGGGAACCACTGATTCAGCACAATCAGAATTCAATAAAAGGCAACTATTATTTTGAATCCCATCATCAATATGACCCTGGAGACTTGTCAGGCTTACTTGAACGGGCAGATGGAACCTTAAGACTGAAGAGTGGCCATTCTTCTTCTAAATGAGCCATCAGTTATAGCAAAACTGGGGAGGTGTGGAAGGGAAATGCTCATTTAAATTTACCTATGATATGAACATTTGTACTTTTAAATTCCAAGGGGTGGAGAAGAAAACTACCTCCTCTTTCACACTGAAGGTTTTCAATAACAATAAAACCTACCTCCCAACTAAAAGGTATGTTAACACTCAAAATGTGTAATAATCAAAGACTACCAAGGTGGAATAAGGGCAACAAGTATGAGCAATTAAAGGCCACGCGTTCCACCGCACTCGGAAGACAATGTTAATTCTGCGAGCTACTGCTTAAAGTCAATACATGTTTTCATTAGTAGGACCCCATAAATGGGATGTTTCTGGAGCCTGGGCTTTTTTAAGTGCATAAGCATCGTGTAAGCTGCTGGGATTTAAAAAAAACAAACACGAACAGGGCCTGCCCACAAAGATCACACAATTTAGTGTGTGTGTGTGTGTGGGGGGGGAGGCCCTCCACAATAACCCCCAGAGAAAAAAACGAAACGGAAAAAAAAATATCTAAAAAGGCGTGAGGCATCCGAGGCGGCCGCCATGCCCGCAGGCGGCGACGGTGTCAGCCTCTGGTTCCAGCCAGTGCCTCGCGCGCCTCCCCAGGGTCGGCCCGCCCCGCTCCCGGCCCGCACGGGCGCCGCTCACACTGCAGGATGATCTCCTCGAACGCCTGCCTCTGCAGTCGGTCCCGGCGCCTCAGCTCCTCCGAGATGTGGCGCTTCCAGCGGGGGAAGTCAGCGGCGCGGAGGCCCGACGACATGTCGCCTGCTGCCCCGGCGCCTCAGCGCCGCCAATCCGAGCGAAGGCTGGTGGCCGAGGCCCGCAGCATGAGGCGACCAGCGGGCGCGGAAAAGCCGGCAACCCCAGACCTCACCTACACAACGCAGCCGCCTCTGAGGCCATCCGGGTCCGTCTTCCGGCTCCTGACGGAAATGATTTTGGCGAGGGCCGGAAGGCCCGCCTCCTCTCCCTACGCCTTTTCTACGCACGCACGCACGCACGCACGCGGTGAGTGCTGATGCAGGACGCTCGCTAGTGTCGCCTTCCTGAAGCCGGAAGCGTTAGGGACAGGGAAGCGGCCGCTGGGAGGCGTGCTGGCAGCGCTGTAGGCCCAGCTATGGGCAGGAAGGAAGCGGGAAGGGAGGCGCTTCTGCTTGCCTACATACGTTTCCTTTGCTGCTCTTCAACCCTTTTCGCATTTTCTTTCTTGGCCTGCCTCCCTTTTTTTCATCCCTTCAGTTTACAAACAGAAGTGGGGTTCACTCCCCACATAGTAGCTGTGTGGCTGTGGATGAATGACAGCCTCCCTAAGCTCAGTTTTCTAATCTATAAAATGGGGACAGGAATGATACCCACCTCAGAGGGTTGTCATGAGGATTAAAAGGAAAAACCTATGTAATATAATTAGCATTGTGCCCGGCACGTGGTAAACCTAACCTTACCTACACATCCGGTATCCTTCCAAGGCCTACCCAAATCTGGCTGCTTTAGCAAGAACTTCCCACAGATCTTGGAAACGGGGTTTGGGGAGTTTTCTTTTGTTTAGCAATGGAGAAGAGGAATGGAACTGAGCTAAGAAAGATGTGAATAGTTTGTCTGTGTTAATCATTAGAATCCTAGAAATTATGACTTAATAGTAAACGGGTCCTTACAAGGTAATCTAATGCCAGTAGATATTGAAAAGGGAAGATGGAAGACACATAGGCTCCCTAGAAGATCAAATCTGTCAACAAGCTCAGTAGAATGGAAAACCTAATTCTGTAATGGAATTGTCTGAGCTTCACCTACCTTTAACAGGTTAGTGAATTTACTGCATGAAAATGGAACTGGATAAAATAGGAAGCCAAAGGAGAGGAAAGGAATGTCAGAAACTGCCTTCTTTTCCAGTGTGTTTCAAGTCCAGAGGAAGATCCTTCAGAGACAGATAAGATGGTCTTTCCTCTCCCATGGAGCAGAGGAGGACAGGCTTCCAGAACTATTGTTAAAGAGGTTTCAGTGTCGGTATGGAGTGATCTGAAGTTGTTGGAACACACCAAAGAAAACGAAGAAGCAAATAATAAAAGTCACCAAGAATGCCATCAAATGTAACAGTGGCACCAGCCTCGAAAGACCATGGCATTGCATAGCAGCACATCTTGACAGTTGAGCATGCTAATTTTCCAGACAAGATTATGATTAAAATATATTTACAAATTTGCCCACCCAGCAATTCCACTTGCAGGAATTTATGCCAAGAACTATTTAGACACATGTGCATATACAAAGACATTTGTCACAGCATTGTTAATAGTGGGAAGTTGGAAACAATCTGTATTTCCAACAATAAGAGATGGGTTAAATTACTATATATTTACTGTTGAAAATTGCTCATAGTAAAGCCAGTATAAATCCCAATTATATAAAATAAATGTGTCCTCAGCTCCTCATAGATAATATTTAATGAATGAATGAAGAAGAATTTCTAAACTAAGGATCTGATGATCTGCTAGGTCTGCCATCTTCCTAACTCACCAGCTTTATCCAGTGCACAACTGCAGCCACATTGAACTCTGGTCTTCTACTCACCATGCCCCTCCCTCTGCAGGGCCTTTGGATTTAAGGTATGTGTCGGGCACATTCTTCCCTTCTGACTTCTCTGAGTTAATTCCTTTGAGTTCATTCTCACTTCAGTAGTCACTTCCTCAAACCCTACAGATAACAGATCTTCACAGCTAGATTGGATCTCTCGCCTACTTATGTGCCTCCCTATATAGCATTTATCCCAGTTACTGCAGCTTTGTGTGTATTTGTATCATTACTTGGTTAAGGTGTGTCTCCCCCTATAGACTGTAAACTCCATGAGGCCAGAGCTGTGTCTGTTTTGCACATCATTATATCTCCAGCAAAAGCATGAAGCCTTGGCCGGGCGCGGTGGCTCACGCCTATAATCCTAGCACTCTGGGCGGCTGAGGCGAGAGGATCACTCAAGGTCAGGAGTTCAAGACTAGCCTGAGCAAGAGTGAGATCCCGTCTTCTACTATATATAGAAAGAAATTAATTGGCCAACTAATATATATAGAAAAAATTAGCCGGGCATGGTGGCGCATGCCTGTAGTCCCAGCTACTCCGGAGGCTGAGGCAGGAGGATTGCTTGAGCCCAGGAGTTTGAGGTTGCTGTGAGCTAGGCTGACGCCCCGGCACTCACTCTAGCCTGTGCAACAAAGCAAGACTGTCTAAAAAAAAAAAAAAGCATGAAGCCTTGCATATGTTAGGTGCTCAGTAAATGTTGCCTAATTAATGGATGGAATATGTGAAAATACTAATAGATATCTCTGGACAGTGGCACTGCTGGTGTTTTTGTTTTCTTATGTGTGTATCTTATATGTATTTTTCTAATTGGTAAACATTATACATGTACTGTGTGTGCAAGAAAAAGTTCTAAGGATAAACATGTATTTATCGATAAAAACCATTTATTTAGCAGGTTGCTAGGCTCTGTAGTCAATAACTGATAAGCAGGAACATTTCTACTGCACTCTTCTGAGTAGTATTTCACATATTACAACTCATTTACTCCTCACAATAGCCCTCCTTGGTAGCATTTTCACCCTCATTTACAGATGGGGAATCTGAGGCATAGAAACATCAAGTAACTTGGCTGAGGACACCTGGCTAGTAAGTGGGAAGACCTGGGTTCAAATACAGGCAGTCTGATGCTATCTTCTGTGCCCTTAACCACTGCACTCCATCATCCGGTCTCTATTCAAGCTGACCCTGCAGTTTGGCTCGAATAGAGCATATGACAAAAAAAGGGTTTTAAATGATAGGTAATTGATTCCTAAATTAGCCAATAGGGAGGGCAACCTCGTACAAAGCAAAGTCAGTGATAGGGAGGGCTCAAGTGTGCTCACAGGCACCAAGAGGAATGGCTGGATGGGGCGTGAGGAAGAGGAAGGAAGAGGAAATAGATTGTCTGAATATTCTGGCGACAGATAATGGACCCTAAGAGCTTTTATTTGGTCTGGTAAATAATGAGTGTCTAAAAGATCCAGCATGCTCTGCTTGGGAAGCAGCATCTGTGGAATGGATTCTGGCTGCCTATAATGGATATAAGATAAATGCAAATTATACCAGGATCCTTGTAGCAATATGTTAAGAGCACAAATTTGCTCACAGGAAGAGTGGAAGAGGCATCACTTATGAAAGGACTTTCTTTGTAGAACGTCTAGTTTCACTGAAACAAAGTACCACCAGTTTTAACATAACAGCATTTCCATGGCAGCATTTCCACTGCTAAAAACTTCCAGGAGATTCTCACCTTAATCATCAATGCCTACACTTTTCATCTGTGAGATCTTCTAGTTATGCTCCAATTCAGAGAAATCCAAGGTCCAACCTTCAGATAATTGTCCTATTTACTGTTTTCCTGGTCTTTTCGGTGTTCCTGATTCCCTTTACCTTTCAATCAGCAAGTGAAGAAACGGCCCAATCCTAGTGTGGGTCTAGCACAGGGAAGATTTGCATGGGAGACATAAACATCCCTAGCTTGGATCCAGACCTGAGGGAGCTCATGCACAATATGAGGGAGCTCATGCACAATATGAGGGAGCTCATGCACAAGAGCACAAATATACAGAGAGATCTGTAGACATGTCATTTATGGACTTGAGGAATATAAAATGCAAAGGGCCGGCCTGAAAGTAGTACCAAAGGGGTTCAATTCTCTTCTGTTCTTTTTTCTCAGGCCTTTATTCTTTTTAAAAATAATCATTTTCTGGTTTTTTAAAAATTCTTTTAATCTTTATTTCAACTCGTTTGCATCTCGTTACAAAACTATGTTACTAAAAGTAAAAATAAACTAAGTTAACCTTATTGTTGTGTTAACTGTCTACTGCATAAACTTTGTAGCTGCTAGAGTAAATAAAAGGATAGTCCAGAAACCCACCGACATAGGTTTCCAGACACACGGGTGATGTTTCCAAATGTTGGGGATTTTTTTGGTATGACAGTAATGATGTTCCCTTTATACATCCATCACTTGACATTTTATTATTAATCTTTTTTTTTTTTTTGAGACAGAGTCTTACTTTGTTGCCCAGGCTAGAGTGAGTGCCGTGGCATCAGCCTAGCTCACAGCAACCTCAGTCTCCTGGGCTCAAGCGATCCTTCTGCCTCAGCCTCCCGAGTACCTGGGACTACAGGCATGCGCCACCATGCCTGGCTAATTTTTTTTTTGTATATATATTTTTATTTGGCCAATTAATTTCTATTTATAGGAGAGACAGGGTCTTGCTCTTGCTCAGTCTGGTTTCAAACTCCTGATCTCAAGCAATCCGCCTGCCTTGGCCTCCCAGAGTGCTAGGATTACAGGTGTGAGCCACCACGCCCAGCCCACTTGACATTTTTACCCCTCATTTTTCTTTGTTCTCTTTAGAGTCATTGCTTTTGTATATGTATGCACACTGCGGGAAGTTTTGATTATAAAGAATCTCTGTGCACCTGGATTAAGCCACATGCAGGTCATGTCATCCACTGCATATATATATTATACTCAGATTTCATGTTTTATAAATGACTGTTTGATGTGGCATTATTATTCTCATACTCTAATACAAGCATTTTAGTAACATTCAACTTTCTTAGAGGAGGTTGTTGTATCTCCTCTATGTACTGGCAGCCAGTGTTTGGAATGCTGGCCAGAGGATTCAACATGGCACTTCTGACAAGCAGGACTGTGATCCCTGCTGGGGCTGGGGGTTGTCTTCCTTGGTTTGTTTCTTTGATCTTTAAAGACATGATCAAATTTCCCCTAGGCACTACTTCCTTCCCCCACTATGAATAATACTTAATGTTAATTGAGTGATTTTCACATGCCAGGCACTGTGGATCAATTTATTTAATCCTCATAGCACTACAATGTAGCCATTTTATATTTCCTTTTT